CAATTCATTGAGCATCATCCAGACAAACTGGCGGCGGAACCCAAGGGAACCCGCAGATCCATCCCATCCATGCCGTTCGCTTCTTTTCAGCTGCTTATTTCCTTAGGATCCCGAACGAATCTCTCAATGGCGCAACGTCTGTGCACTCGACTCTCGGCCAAGGATACGCCGAAAAAGTGTCAAAATTCCTATAATCCGCTTTTAGGTGTTTTAATGCCCGAAAACCCGGGACGTGGTCAGCACAGCACAGTACAGCCACCTTGCCTGCCTGCCTCGTTTCACATGAATGAATTTTCAATTTGCTGCATGTCCATTGTCTTGGCAACCGGCACAACGTCCTGCCATTCAGACCATTCCAGTCATTCTGGCCATTCTGGCCATTCTGACCATTCTGGCCATTCGATTCATTCGGGCACGTAGGTGTTTTTTGTCCGCGTCATTGTCTCTAAGCCCGCTTCCCCGCTCCCCCGCTGCCCGCTCACAGGACAATGGCCCAGCGGGTGGGGGCCAACGGCAGCGAGCGTTACGAATGGCCGACAGGATAATGCCACGAAAGGGGAAAAGGACAGGCTTAGATGCAACTACTAATACGTGGAGAAGAAGGGCAGGGTGCCGTGAAAGGCACTCGGCGCAGGAAGCCGTCAAGAAGAGCCACCAATAAACGCTAACAAAGTCCAGCCGACGCCTGCATTATGGCCAACAACGCAGGCAAGGTCAAGTGGCCAGGGCCCAGTGGCCAAAGAAAGCATACAAGGCCTATAAAACATTTAAAATGCATCGCATCTGCCATTGAAACAATTTTGAATTAATTTACAAAACGACTTACAAAAGGCTTACAAACCGGATTAAAACTTTTTGTGCTAGAATCCTAATCGCAGAGTTCACCAGAACTGTCAGTTTAATAAGATTATATGGCATTGTTGTTTAGTTAGTTGTGTTACTTTTATGTTAAAAAATAATGCAATTCTTAGAACTATTTACATATTTAATGTGCTTATTTACATGGAAGACACATTTTAATTTCGAACCAGAAAAGTAAGATTTTGTTCAAATGATTTTTTTTGGATACTGAATTTTTAGTGAATCTCATACTCTTATACTCCCATTTCAAGAATTTCGAAATCTGAATTGCGAAACTGCAGCTTTCAATTCCTTTGCTGTTCCAGAGATATCTCGCAATCTTTCCCATGCCTGCAGCTCCTATATCATCATGTCCTTTTCTTGCCGCGTAATCGTCTGCATTCAAATCGATCGATCGACGGACAGTCTGTCCTGACCAAGGCTACTACCCCAGACTACCAGACTGCGTGTCCATTAGCAAAGACCATTCCAATACCATTTTTTAAGCATGTCTGGGACATTAAACAACTGGTTTTTGAAGGCCTGTGAACAACATGATTTAGCATTTTGATTGCATACGTTGTACAATCAGAAGGAAAAAAGGAGGAAAAGGTAGCCCCGCTAATCAATTGGTCAGCACGACAGGCAGTCTGGATTGATATGGTTCAATGTGTTTTCCCCTAAAAATTTTGAGCTACAATATTGAATATTTACTAGAATTGTAAGTATTTCTTTTCATTTTGATCTGGAACAAAGAATGCCATTTTTGCTTTAGTATCAGATAGTTTATATTCGACCAATTTTCCTGCTGCTCTTCAGTTCTAATCAACAGTTTTTTTCTAGAAGCATGAATGTAAAAGTACATGTACCTTTTGTGGTTTTCCTACGAAATTCCCCACATGTCCCAAGAACAAACCCCGAAACCATATGAGTTCCTGTTTAACTGCTATCTGGCCTATCAATCGGTGTGTCATAACTGCATTTGGTTTTGTCAGTTTCCGTACGGTCTTTTTTCGTCCTTTGGTCTATCAATTTGCTGCAAATCTGGGCTTTGTTTGGGATGTGTATCTGGAAGGTTTCGCAAGGATTAAACGCACTCAGGCTCGACGATGGCAATCTCATTTGTTTGCGACAATTGTTTGGCCATCGATGGATCGATGCTGATTTCGGGGCTTCGATCGTTTTTGAGCCAAATCTGTTTGCCTTGTGGCCTATGAAATTGTATCCGATGTTTATCTATGAGGGGAGAGCGAAATCCGTACGCTGAAGTATATGGCGGAAGGGGAAAGGGGCTTCTTTTAGAAGTCCCAAGCGGTTGCCAAACACAACCGAAAATTTGAATGATTTTCCTCGTGCTTTTTGCTTTTTGATTAACATTAATGAGCGACAAAAAGTGCAAAAATTTACATGGCAACGGCGGCTTCTCTGCCCCCATTGTTGTCCCGGTCTTTAGAAAATCTCCCATTCACCGCGACAGGAGCTTGTCAGGAGTGTGTGGATGCCTCATCCACCTCGGCAACCTATCCATCCCCAACAATAACGATTTAGGCATTAGAGCTCTATTGAAATTTTCTTTTTCGTTGCGATTGTGGAGCTTCATTCTGCCTGGTTTGGGGCCTTGAAGACGGGCTCAACAAGATGGCAAATCCCCCATCTGGCTGTGCTCATCACATTATTCTGTATCTAAGTTGCAGTCGGTGCATTGTCAGCGCTTTTTGTCTAACTACTCATTAACATTTATTTGCAAGTGCAGAGAATGCCATGGCAAATGCAAAAGCAACTGCCATGATAAATATGACAAACAGACAATGGCCAGATAGACAAACAGAAAACAGAAACTCACAATGGGGAAATGCACCGCGAAAAAAGGGGGTAAGGTGATGGAAAGGGATAGAAAACGGTCGACATGGAAGGAGAAATCTTACTGTTCCTCATCAGAAATACATTTCTTATGTCTGTCAGGTGTTTTAAAATATATTTTATCACTAGAGAGATTTTAAATCACTTAATGTTATACCTAGAAGTACGCCCGTGCCAAAAGTGTTTAGATATATTATAGCATTAAAGCTTGATACGAGCTTAAGAAGTATACACCAACAAATAATACTTTAAGCAAAATCTAATTATCCATTTAGCTTCAATGTCCGACAAACCCCATTCCATAGCCAGCACAGCCATTTTAGGCATTCAGGTGAGTGCAGTGTATAATTACAATGGCCGACTAACTGAGGAAGCGAGACAGACGCAGCGAAAGAGAAGGGGACATAGCCAAAGACAATGGACACAACCAGTACATAGAGTGCGATAAGGAGGGGTAGAAGACGAGAGCGAGAGAGAGGGCAGAAACGGGTCCAAGTAAATGGAACAGTTGCAGACCATCCATCCATCCATCCATCCAGTCAGCCAGTCCGCCCTTCGTCACCCACTCAGTTCGTCAAGTTGGGGCTGGAAAAATGTGCACCATTGTTTCCAACTTGCAATTGTTTGCCGACAATCGGCAAAAAGGCAGCAAGTACTCCTCTTTTCTCAGACTTTTCCACTATCTGCCATGTAGGAAAGGCTTAGGTCATTAGAGTCAAATTATATTAGAGTGTTAGTACGTAGGTAGTTAAATCTTATAGCAGGTACACACTGTTTGCATTTGTCATTAGTTCGTTGTTAATTAAAACGAAGCCCAAGTGCCAGACGACAAAACTCGACACGACAGACTGAATGGAAATCAAAATGCGCTAAAAACCGCCCTGAAACAATGGCAACACCTGCGTAATGCCCTGTCCCACCCAAAACCCATTACACAAAAAGTCCTGGAACAAAGCCCGACCAAATGCGAGTGGAGTTGGAACTCCGGAGTTACGAGCCGTTGTCCTGGCAACTCCACCAACACCAAAGCAAATTAACAAAACAATAATGTCGACATGAAAAATGCGATGCAATGGCAGGCACTTTGCAGGACTTCTATATATGCTAACCGTGATATAAGACAGGTGCAATTATGCAGAGGTATACAAAAATTAAGTTATGGGAATGGTACACATTTCGTGTGGGTCAAAACACTCGATTGTGTGTTGTAATTTTAGTTGTATTTTAAATATTTACAAGAAAAAGTACTGCAGTACGTCTATATAGGACAATATGAAAACAGTCTCCTAGAGTTCTTAAGTCCAGAATTGTTTATAACTGTGTTAGAACCTACAACCGAAATATAAAGTGTTCCAAAGCGTTCTGCTCGTATTATGGCCACCTTGGCCAACATATCCACCATTTTGAGCTTGGAAATTAGCCAAAGGCGAATCGTAGTTGCGGGCCAGATGTCAGGCTCAGATCTGCACAGTTCACCTCGATTCAGAAATAAATGTCCATTAAGATTAGTTGATTTTGCTTTCGATAGTTTGTTTTTCAGCTCTTTTTTTATTTTTCTGACGCTCTTTGCTGGTCTCTAAGCAAATGCGGTAAATAAACGACAAACTCCCGAAAAGCTCACTCCCCATGGTGGCACCTCTTCCCAGTAAAGAGACCGTCGTAGACCCCAACTTTACCCCCATTTTCCACTTGGCATTTCATGTAACACGAAACCTTCCCCAACCAGAAGCATTCCAATTGGAAACGCCCATCATGGGACTCGTTGCTTAGAGTGAAATGGCTATGGTGGCCAAGTAGCTACTCCGTTTGTCTCGCTCGCACACCCACGCAACACCTGCCCTTGTTGACCGCCCTGCCTCTGCATTCTCCATCCCTTTCTGTCTGACTTTTTTTGTCTCTGTTGCTCTGCTGTGTTGTGTGTTTTTTTCCTGACGTCGCAGTTCTTCGATTTTTTTTTCCTTCACGAAAATGTCACCTGGTCGTTGTGCCGCTCTCTCACCAATACAACGATACTTTTGCTCTCATTTTCGAATTTGTTGTGGATGTAGTTTCTTTATAAGCAGGCTTATAAAAAACATATAACAAACCAATAAGAAAGAAAGCTCTCGGAAAAAGTATTAATCCAGAGCGAGAGAGAACACAAGCTTTTGCAGAGAGGATTTCCTGGCACATGTGTGTGAGTATGTGTGTATGTGTGCGTGTGCTTGTGTGGAGCGATACTGTTACATAGCAGCTGTCTTGCCGCCCCACCTGCCACGCCCCCCGCCCCATTCGGCGACTAAAAGACTCGTTTTTTGGCTCGTGTGTTTTTGAAGAGAGCGCGCGCCAAGTTTTTAGTTACGCGTCGGAACGGATCCGTTGAATAGCCGCCAAAGCGCGCTTAGATGCAGCAACAGCCAACTTGGCCAAGAAGAGCCGATCAGCCAACAGCGACGGTTTTAGCCCCCTCACAAGAAACGGCAACAAATAACCGATATTCGCAAAGAAATATACAAAGGAACATATAAAAAACATAAACAAACTTTTCTCGGTAAATATCACAAAGTATAAGTGAAAAACAAATCAAACTTTTCTTCCCCATTTAACTAAATAATAAAACACAAACCAATTCCCAAAACAGTGCTCATATGATATCAACTTTCAACGCTCGTTAAGTGCTCATAGAAATCAAACAAAATACAAATCCAATAAGGCAAAGCAAAGCGTTTTTAAAACACAAACAAATCTGGCAACGATTGCGCCATAAAGTTTTGAAATCCTAAGCTACTTATTTCTCTTGCATACTTCAAATCAAACAAGCTCCATTCTTTGTAGCATCAAAGCATTGGATGCACTATAAGTATCTTATCAATGAATGGAAAGCAACAACACACGTCAACATAAACTAGTGATATCCATAGAAAAGTGTTCGTCAAACAGATTCGGTTACGAAACAGCTCAAGATCATAAAAGTCAACAAATTCAACATTTTATGGCAGTTCGGAAAGTGGAAATCATAAGCGACAAAAACAAACCATAAACATATATTATCCACATAATTCGGTAGTATATTCCGCATATATGCTGCCATCGAATATTTGATTCCAAACGCCGGAAATCGGGAAATTCAAAGGAAATGCAGAACTTTTCGAGGTAAGATAACACCTAACTTTATGTAAACCAAAATCTTTATAGAGTACTTCATACATTAGTTTTATAACATAGCTACTTTTATTTCGAAAAGAGAAATGTTTAGTTTTTTAGTCACAAATTATCATATACATATGTGTGTAGATAGAGTCCGAATCCGTAGAATTGAACATCAGTTGAACATTAGACTGTTTTCCATGTTAATTAAAAGTACTTCAAGTCAAAAACCAGGTAAAAATCAATTAAAAATCCCTTCAACCCTTTAACAATTTCTTTAAATTTGAACAACTTTTCTTGACCATCAATTAGGTAAACACGGAGAGAGCTCCGCATAATGAGTCTGAGTGCGTCAGATACAAGGGGAATCAACAGATTTTATTGTTTGGATAATTTCAGGATTTTCCTCTTTTCATTTTCTGCGAAATCATTGTCGGAATCTTTATGCCCCACTCGAGGTGTGTTTACTTTTGCTTTCGATCTTCCACTTGAATTAAAGCAAGCTCGTTTTCTTTCTCCGAGGAGCATTCAAAGTTGTTTGGTTAACTTAATTTCCAACTATAAATGAAAACCGACGACTCAAGGAATGTGAAAAGCCGCAGCAGAAAAAGAGTCAAAAAGTGTCCGAGAATTTGGAATGACGCAATTAGAGCAAATAGTAGTATTAGTAGAAGAAATAGGGGAAAACAACGTGTGCTTAATAATATTTACACAAAATATGTGACAATTGAATTTGATGTGACGGGCCCCCATCATATAGAAATCGACTTTGGACCAGCAAACAAAAAACACAATTGTGCAAACACATTTTTCTGAAAATTTTTGCGCACCAGATGTCAATCGAATATATATTTTTCGCCATTCTTTTGTCCATTCTGTTTGCTTTATAAATTTGCTCAAAAAACAGACCTAATCCGAAGAAGAGTTTGCAAGAATTTCTAATTAATACGCGGTTGTATCAGCGCACATATGTTTAGCGGACTTTGTATCGCTTCTTTTTCTTTTCGATTGCCCTTGGCACCAACTTGACACTAAACCCGGGGGGCGCAGGGTATGTGGTTATCGAGACACTGCTACGTTTACGAGGCGATTGTTGCGAGTGTGAAAGTTCTTAATTACAAACATTAGGGGGCCCAGCGGCTTAGGGCCCTGAGAAGATCCGATCCCAGCGGGCGGCCAAGACGACACTTTTGAATGGAGGTTCTGCCGTTCTGCTGGTCTGCTGGTCTGCTGGTCTGCTGTTCCGCTGGGACCGAAAACCCGGTGCGTATCCGCGATACATTTCAACACAAAGTGGAGACACTTAAAGCTCTACCTGTGTTGAAGACGAGGTGGAAGACCGCAGACTGTAGACTGCAGACTGCAGACTGCGAGACTCCTCTGCGAAGCAGAAGAATGAGCAGAAGAGTCTGGCTGGGGGAGAGATCTCGGGCTCAGCATGTGGCTAAGCCGATCATAATTCTTGTTTGACACCCCAACAAACGGATGAACAAATGAACGAGGAGCAGCAACAACAAGGCCAACTATATGGCCCCCGAAACTCAAGTGGCCAGCGGGTTAATTTTACTCCTACTGCGATACGAAGTTCCAAACGGATTTGCATGTGAAAGAGTCTCGGATATAAGGTGCCTCTGGTGGGTTATCTATTAAGGCTACTAGATTAACACCCTGAGAAGACCCACGCTCTTCAGCTTAACGGTTACATTTCCGTTACAAATAAACATCGCAGATACATTTTGGTCTGCATGGCGGTGCAGCGGATCAAAAGGAGGAGCTGGCATATTCACAGCAAATAAAAATATCTGGAGTGCAATTTGTGCACAGCTGGTGGTGCAACCGTCGAATCGGATGGTGGCCCTGTGGTGCAACCGATACTGCAACTGCCACACTGCACCACATCGGTAGAAGTGCCAATTGCTCATGGTCATTCACAGTCTCATAGCCAATTCAATTAGTTCACTAAAAGTGTCATGCCTAAAAACTAAAATATTCAAATTTAAGTTCACACAAATATCCAATTGCTGCTAGATCTACTGCTATATGTTTTGGGTTTATTTTAAATATAAAATATTACATTTACCATTGGCTATAAATGCACATACTCAGATCATTTATCGCCGTGCATTCAGCCAATTCACAACGTAAAAAGGCTGAGCAAAAATATGGAGGGCAACTTGACAACACAGAAATTTGTTTGCACTCCATAAGGATTACAAATATGCGTGTCCCTTCGCCAACCGCTCCACCTTCCCAGGCCCCACTTTTTCTTTTAAAATAAATTTCATGCTTAATACGCATGCTTGGCAATTTTTACTTTAACACCAAGTGGTAATGCCCGGAAGCAGTACAGATGTCGCATCGCATAGCCCAACGCAAGTTATTGACCACGTTGCGTTGCATGGCCAGAAATGCCAATGAACAGGGCCAAAAAGAGGCGAGACTGCGGAATATGGCAGCAGGGAGAAAACAGTCGAAATGGACAGATAAAGATAAATGGTTTCGGACCACAGTTGGCCCCTTCATATAGCCAAAGGTATTTAAAAATTATTGTGGCACAATGGATAGTTTCTGATTTATAAGTTCAACCAACTTTCCTGTATTTTTATTTATGCTATGCTTTTACTTTTAAAAAGATTCCAACTTCCTAATAATTTAAAAAGGGCATTCGCTTCAATGAAACAATTGCCTCGTACACGCCTTCCAATTATACATATACATTTTTATTTTAATATATATGTACATATAGAAACGTACTTACCTCCTTAAATAAACAATGACTGCTGAATGTATGGTTCTTTAATACATTTTTGGTAATTATTTCAAGAAGCGTTTCTATTTATAAAACAGGTGAGTTTAACAAGAACTGTGTCAACGGCATTGTTACTTAGGGTAAATTTACCTTTAGCATGTCTATTTAGTGATGCAAAATATTTGAATAATCCCAACTGAAAACATGAACCACTTTGTTTATATCTTAAGACGAACGCCTAAATTTTTATCCCAATTGGAATGGTTATCAATGATTATGATTCAAAAGTAATGGGAAACTTTAGCATTGAAATAAATTTACCAGATAGGTTTTTACATGAATTTTAATAGGTGCAAGTACAATCCACTCTAATTAGCTGACTGGGCAACCAAAAGTAATTATATTATTATTTATTCCTGTTTGCGTTCGCCAGGCGTTTCCCTACCCACCGCCATTTGACCCCTCAATGCTCATTGGGGCATTGTTAATCAATTAACTAATTGATTTGAGCTCTTAAAAGTATGTCGTCTGGGGCCCATTCTTCGGGGACAAAAACAAAAAAAAAAAAAAAAACAATGCCGAGTGGAGTCGTGGACTTGTGGGCCAAAAAACCCACTTGCGAGCCGCGCTGGCGGTTGCCACCTCAACTCGACCGGAATTGGACTCACTCCTTTTCTGCGCCCATTGTTTGGGCCAAATGTCAACCCTTAAAACCGACCGGGATGCACAATAACACAACAACAAATGAGACGACTACGACGACGATGACGACGTCGTCGTCCATCCTTTCCATTATGCGACGGGGCACTTGAAACCCATTTCTTTCCCATTTTACATTTTTGTGTACTCTATTTGCACCCAAGCCGCTTGTTTTGGACACGCTGGAATGGGCTGGTCATGTGTCGGTTGATAGGCTTCTCTTTCTGGGTCCTTTCGATCCCACATGTGCGTGCATTATAAGCGGGATTTACGTGGTCCACTTGATGCCCCAGCTCCATTGGCTCGCAAAACGTGTTAAATACGGCACGGCAGCGGGGACCGGGAAGCGGGGAAAAGGGGAAAAGGGTCAAGAAGCCAGCGTCCGGCTAAACGCTTTCAATTTGCTTAATGGTCCCTGTCGGATTCGCATTCGGGCTCGGATTTCCTCATCCTTCTCATCAGGATCTCGAGGACAATCGAGTGCGGGTGTGCCAGGAACATATGTGTGCCTCCACTGAGTGCGAGTCCTCATCCCACATCCTACATGCACATATTTGGCCTGCTATTTGGCTGGCATTATCCTGGGCAAATGTGTCATCTGCAGTGGATATTTGCATGGATTGGACGGTGGTCTCATCTCGAGAAGTTTTGCTGCCCATTTTTTGGCTAGATAGAGTTCCAAGCCATTAGCTTACGCAGAAAAGCTTGCACATAAAAGGATTTTTCGGGTGGTATGAGGACACGTGAATTAATTGGGCAAACACAATTCAATTTGTAAGGTAGTGAAGAAAATAACGTTTAAATAATGTACATAAAGCTTCTAAAGAGGAAGTTAGCGAAAAATTTAGACTTAAAAAACATAGAATTAAATATTTTATATAATATATTACTAATATGCAGTTGATCACTTCCTTCCAGCACAACGCATCAACAACTTCTCACCACCACCAGTTCCAGCACCAATAGTTCCAGCACCACCCAGTCCGCCCGCCGGCTTGAGGGCCACAGATTGAGGCGCCAAGGAAGCCCCACTCCATCTGCGATATGATGGAACGTCTGTCCACGCACCTGTCGCTCACCGGCCTATCGCTAGCTCATCCCCTGCAAACTCACCTGGGTTCCGGCGGCGGAACGCACCACCTTGGTCAACTGGCGGCGGCGGTGCATCAGCAACAGCAGCAGCAGCAGCAACAATCCGACCAGGGTCTCGGCCACTCGCACCACCTGCACGGTCAGCAATTGTCGCTGAACCACCAGCACCACCATCCCCACCAGTCGCCGCAGCATCAGCAGCAGCACCAGCACCACCCGTGCAGCAGCAACAGCAGCAACGGATCCCCGAACGGCTCCACCGGCCTGGGCCTGCATCCCCACTCGGCGCTCCACCTGGCGCACCACCACTCGCAGCTGCATCAGCACCACCCGGCGGGTCAGCAGCAGCAGCAGCACAGCCAGCCGCCGGTCTCCTCCTCCTCGGCCTCCTCGCACCACAGCCAGTCGCAGGCGCTGAGCCACCAGCCGCACAGCAACGGCAGCTCCCAGCTGGGCGGTGGTTCGGCCAGTGGTGCGGGCTCAGTGCCCGGCGGTGCAGCCAACAGCCACCACAGTGCTCCAGCCTCCAGCAGCGTGATGGCCGCCGCAGCAGCCGCCCACCTGCACCACAATTCGCAGGCATCGCCCATCAGCAATCTGCACCAGAACATGGGCAGCCTCATGAACAGCGGAAGCAGCGCGAGGTGAGTTATTCCTAATGAAATAAATATACATTTTAAATTTTAATTTAAATTTTAGTTATATGGTGGGATCTATTTGATTTTTTTGGGATGCTTACAAAATTGACGAATTTTGTATGTAAGCTTGTGGGGACTTTCGTACTCTCTCTTTGTTTTTGACTTACGATATTATTTAAAGTATCCTAACTTTACTTACCTATTATTTCGCAGCGATGTCTTCTTCAGCCTGATGATCCAGAACACAACAAAGCGCCAAAACGAGGAGCACATAAAACGTCCAATGAACGCTTTCATGGTCTGGTCCAGGCTGCAGCGGCGCAAGATAGCTCAGGATAATCCTAAGATGCACAATTCCGAGATTTCCAAAAGGCTGGGTGAGTGCACAAGGATAGTTAAAATATATTACATTACTTTAAAGTTGCCACTGCCACCATTCAGTTCTTCACTAAGACTTTATAACATGTGGTATTCACTTCTTGGGCTTGTGGATTGCTGGCTTGAACCTTCAACACTATTCCAACACTTAGCCACCATGAGTGCCACAATTGCCCCTTCAAGCTGTTATTTCCAGAACAAACAAACTACTTAAATCCCAGCCAAGCTCACTTGAGCCTCTCTTTTTGTGTGTTTTGTGTAACGTAAGCCACGAAAGCCTCGGTTATCTGGTGGCAACGTTTCTTTCGAAATGTGTATAATCTGCGGACAAAGCGATGGGCCAATACAAAACGAAATTAAAATGCGGCACACGACCTGCCAATCTCTCGCACCCACTCGCTCCTCCCTATCTGCAGCGCCATCTCTGTCTTACGCTTATGCAAGTTAAACTAATCAACGTAATACCAACTGTACAATGGCAATGACAAACCAAAAACACCCGCCGCCACTCAACGAAACTGTCAAAAGTGACAGGCGGCTGTCAAACAATGAGCAGGAAGAGCAGCGCAGGAAGCCGTTGATTACGCTCGAAGAAGGGGTTCCATCTTGGCCACGACCTTGCCCACAGAGCACCAGCCACCACCCACCCGATTATGTTAAGTTTGATTCGGCAAATCACGGCCGGCTTTGTCTCTCACCCGCCTAACTAGTTGCAAAGTTAAGTAGTTTATTTTTGGGAGGGCTCACAGCGTCGCCAGATAATCCCACGCAGGTCTTATCGGCTCTTTGGAACTCGCATCTTTTGGGCGTGCAGTTTTCGAGCTGCACACTGAGAAAAAAGTCGATAATACTGAAAATATTATCTTGAAAAATGCCATATAAAGGCATAGTTATCTAAAAAGCCTTACTACCTATTGCACACTTATTTTCCTAATAATTATTGAAGTTTTGAAAAAGCATGGATTAAATTTACTATGAAAATTTGCATTATATTAAATAGTGTTAGCCACCAAGCCTCACAACATATAATTTTGTGCTTTAATCGATACAGTGCGTCCTGAAACCTTTTCTCTCTGCATTCAGCGTGGTAAATTCAATTTCAATCCAAGCTGCAAACACTCGACACGTGGCAGCTGACAGCCAAGTTCTTTAGCATAACAATGCCAGTTCTTAGGACTACCTTTTTCGATCAGCTCATGCATATTGGATGACAGTCCTATTTTATAGATTGGGGAACTGGACTAATCAGTAGCTGCTGTCATAACAGTGATAACAAAAAAAAAATCAAATTTAAAAACCGATTCGAAAGAGAAAGACAAACTCATCTTGGCCAGCATCGATCTGAACTTTGAGGATTTTGCCGGCGTTTCGTGCAATTTTTTAATAAAACTCACCAGGGTTTCCCCCTGGGTAAGTAATCCATCCAGAACTCCCCCAGCCAAGCACTCGTTAAATGACTTTTTCTTGCATTTTTATTTAGCCATTGTTGGCGTGGAAACAAAGGCAAATTAAATGCGACTCACTTGCCATCCAGTTGAGCGAACCAAAGAGCAACAACAGGCAAACTCACTGCATCTGAAGGATGCGAACAACGAAAAAGGGGTTTTTCAGCTCCTGGGCGGAGTTTTTCGCCCAACTCCCTTGAGGACCCCGTTCTCCTTATAAGCCAACCAGTATTGTACATCCATTTGGCGTTCTCTTCCAATGGCAAGAGTTCAAGTAAACATATCGATGGGAGCCAGCAAACTTAAATACAATTTAGAAGCAAACTTGAATTTCGAATTATTTTCTTTCGATTTTTTCCAGCGCCGTTGTTGTTGGTATTGTCGAGCTGAAAGCTTTTGTTCGCCTTTCACATTTTCCTTTTTAGTCCGCTTTTTGGCAAATCCATTATGCGAATTGACAGCTCCTCTCGCTCGTCCTCTCGCTTTCAGTAATATTTGCTGTCAGTTGCAGTCTTTGTTAAGTTTGTTTAGAGCGGGCGGAATATCGAGGGGGTGGTGGTGATGTTGGGGCAGGAGCTCGGAAAATTCTTTTGTGGCAAAGGTGGAACTGGGACAGAGTGGGCCAACACTGAACTGCCAGCCACCTGGTTGGTAGAAAGTAAGAGACCGCGAGACCAGGGATTGTCCTTTACATGCTATGTATTTAACCATTTCGGGGTTGTCTTTCAAGAAGTATTATTTTCCTTTAACTTGTAAAGGAAATTGTGTGTTTGGCAGGCTAAGCCAAGATGGGAAAAACATTTTAAAATAAAATGTAATAGTTGAAATAATCGAAATATAAGTTATTTTTCGCATATTTTATTGCGATATGAATAAGCCTATTTAATTCTTCAAATATTTATGACAGGTTTCTTAAACGAATGATTATACGAACATTATAGTACGTCACATTATAATTATGACAGCTTTCACTGCACTTGTCACTTGATCTATGTCATTTATAATCTGGAGGACAATTTTCAAATGTTTCATTACACCACAACAACCGAACAAAAACGATTTATTTAAATAAACAATGAGAGAAAAATAAGAGGGGGCCATAAAAAGGAAAGCAGAAGCGAGCATTTGCCACATTTACACAAAATGTCAAAGTTTTTTGCACTTGAAAAAGTTAAGCCAACATTCAATTAAATGAATAATTCAACAACAACAACAACGACGACAAAGGCCACGCTCATTATGAGGAATTGCCAAACAGAAAAAGCACAAAAAGCCACAAGATGATGGCCGAGGAAGCGGAGGAAACATAACTGTGGCATAAACAAAGGCGCCACAAAAAATGGCGGCGCGAAAGCTACTTTTTCACCACAGTGCGATGCAGATGCTCCGAGTGCGACAGAAAGGGACGGGGCGTGCGTGTGCGAGCGAGAGGGCCCCATACACCGGCTACAGTGGAGTGGCTCTTCAGCTTCAGACGCCGTCGCCGCTGGCGTTGCTATTTATTTTATACGCCAAACAAACGAAAAAAAGACCACAAAAAAAAGTCCACAAAAGGCTGGATAAAATTGTATATATGAGTGGGTAAAATAAAATAGAATAAAATAAAATGAAATGGAATAAAAGTGAATGTTATAGAAAACAATTCAGTGCTGCGCGCGGGCTTAATTGAAATTGTAACTGTCATTAATTACTGTCTGGAAATTTGAATTACCAACAACCAGAGCGGTGGCACAAACAAAAGGCGACAGCAGCAACAACAACACTGCTCATGCCTTTCGTGGAAAAGTCTTTCCAACCGCGTTTTGTATTTTCGCAAATAATTGAAAAACCTGTCGATTCGACAATGTTCTTTATTTTTAATCAAAGCTCCTGCCTCTCCGGCGGGAATATTTAATAATGCCAAACAAAGCCGAGGAGAGTTGGCTGAATGAGCCGTCAGACCCGGCGGAACAAAAGGCCCAAGGAGCAGGAACAGGCGCAGGAAAAATGCAAACAATCACAAAAGGTCGAACTCAAGCCTTTTCCCACCCCCTCGATCACCTTTTGTTGCTTAATAAAATGCAAACAATTGATTAGTTTGCAATTGGAATGCTTTCGAGGAGGCGTTTACGTTGGGTGGGCGTGAAGGTTGCGAGGCTGCCTGCCAGTGGCAACTGACAGGTGGGAGACATTTGTTTAATGGGTGGAAACGAAAAATTGACGGGGATTTTAAGAAATCGTAAACAAAGCTCTGCTGCACCCTCTTACTCATTAGATAAGGGGTATATCATTTAAGTGCTAGGGTAAATTGCTTGGCACTGGCTTGATCACCTTTTAAGCAGAGTGGACCTATGAAGATGAAGATCACTTTATATGTACAACACCTCTTAAGTATGCTACAAAATTGGGCAAGTGATAGCGACACTTTTATTTAAAGTTTTCACATGCTTTCTTATGATCGAAACTGGTATTACAAGAAGATATAGATACAATCATGTTTGTTTAAATGAACAAAAATAAAGGTATACTGAGTGACGCTAGTAGACACCGCGTAATTACTAATTAACCTAGTACCTTACTTCGATCTGCAGATCTAATCCTTGTGAAACAAAACATTGTCTAAGTCTCAGTGTGGGAGTTTGTTTCCCAACCCACTAGTCCAGCCAGAACTTGGGACTTATTCTCACGATTCCCGCAACAAAGAACGAGCAAATAAGCCAGATTTCGAGTGGCAAGGAAAATGGAGAAAACTCCCAACGCTCCACCTAAGGCCAATAAATTGCTGGGCAAACAAGTTAATCTGTGGTCGCGTTATGAGTGGGGCCCCCAAAGCAAAGCCACCAGCAGAAGAGAAGCTAAGTAATCCCATAAGTAGCCCGATTGTCCGGGTGAGTGGAAAGTGTAACTGCAGACCCAAAAAAAAGAAAAAGAAAAGTAGAACCCACAAAAACTGGAAACTGCAACTGGTGATGGTCAAATATTTGCTCTGTGGGTTAGGCGAACGAAACGTGCAACGTTTCCAGGCCGGAAAAACTTGTTAATTGTAACAGAAAGAGTCTCGGAAATATCTCGCAACTGCCAAGTGCTGGCTTGTTTTTCGTATCAATTATTAAGCTGGTCAACCAGACGGCTGAGGAGAAAATTCTCGGACTGCCTGGCAGTGCAGTGAAGTGCTGAAGTACTGGAGTGCTCTGTTTGGCCAAGGGGCGCCAACATCATAGACATTGGGCAAACATAGACATTGTCATTGTCATCCTTTTGTGGGTCTAGTTTATTCAACTGCTCAACTTGTATCTACAAGTATGCCCCCATCTATGTCCACCGGCTGCTGGTCTTGTTTATTATTATGTCCAGGGCGCCTTTGCACCGCCTCTCCTCCCACATGCACATCCACTTCCACATCCACAGCCCCCAAGCAATCCATTCTCTCGAAGGTGTCGTCCCCAGAAGGAGAGTTGCTCATTTGATGGCCAGTTGGGCCCTTGGCACTGTCAATGTATCTATAAATTAGTATTTTACCATTATGAGTGGGTGCAAGTGGGTTGGGGAGTTGGAGTATGGAGTTTCGGGAGGCCTTTCAGCCTTTGTATTGGCCTTATTGTTATAGTTTTCGTTGCCTGTGTGGGCCTCAGTACAAGTCTGGCTCTGACACTCGTTTCGTTTCCTCCTCGACCAAGAAGAGACTTCCAGTTGGCCCTGTCATCGTTGTCTGTCATAACAATGCCTCCGGTGTGTTAGTGACTGGCTTTGTGGCCAAGTGTGTATGTGACATTATTCTGGCTTTGTGTCCGCATGACAAGCCACTAAAATTACACGTTATAACTAATTAGCGACTTGCCCCCACACACACCAAGCGATTCCCGAGCAATTCATCAACTAATTTACTAACAATATGTCAATATTTTCTTCGGTTTTCTTAGCTGATTACGGAATTACAATCGTTTGCTTGGTACTCTGTTGGGCGAAAAATTAGAGGTTTGGAAATGTAACTTCCATGTATTACAAACATTTTTTAAAGAAGATGCCAAATTAATTAAAATTGTTATAAAATAAAATTTAGGTAGTGGCATTTATGACTAAATTGAATCATTAATTAGTAAGTGCTAGTTCACAACATTACTTCCCAGACAATCTGTAGAAATTGTTGAGCTGCTCAGCCAACCAAATCCAGTATCATCTTTAAACTCCCCAACTGTTTAACTGGTTAGAAGGTCCTTGTTATTGTGAAAACTCCAGTACTGCAGAGCTCATCGACTCATTCTCTCCTTGACACCATGTCCCCTCATCAGACGTCATATGACACATGTCATTATAACGTTTTACATTAACTTAAAAACATTTGCAATTTCCAAACACACAATGGTCGAACCAGAGCCAGAATGGAAGACCTGCTTTCCCGACAGCAACCCCATGTGCCACTTATAGGATGTCTCCTTATAGGATGTGTCCTTATAGTATGTGTCCTTGCTTGTGTACCACCGCACACTCAAAGTATCTGTGTGGCACGTGTATCTGTGTGGGAGTACCCTGTACACATCCTGGCCAACGCCCTCAAGAACGTTCCTGTGTTTCCCCTGCGACCCCTACCCGAAATTAGAACCCGAAACCACCTGCTGGGGTTAGCACAGAACTCGTCTGGATCGAAAAGGGGAACCCCGAACAATGGCGGGCCAGAAAGAGACGGATAGTGGACTGCCGAGTGAGACAACAGACAACCACTGACAGCGACATTGTTTGCTGTTATCCTTCGAGCACAGACAAGACAAGTTTTTGGGGGATCGGATGGTGACCCCGACCCGACATTATGTTTATGTGCGACAGCTTTCGAGAGCGCACTCCAATTGTTGTAGCCAGATTTTCGACAAGAGCTTCGAGAGCAAATGTATCTAATGGATTAACGAGAATTATTTCGCTTTCCAGGTGCCGAGTGGAAGTTGCTCACCGAGGAGGAGAAACGTCCGTTCATCGATGAGGCCAAGCGATTGAGGTGAGCTTTATCTGAACTACACCTCAGGATTACTAACTTAAGGATTCCTTTTCGATAGGGCCATGCACATGAAGGAGCATCCGGACTACAAGTACAGACCGCGCCGAAAGCCAAAAGCCCTGAGACGCGATGGCTATCCCTATCCAATGCCATATCCATCTGTGCCCGTGGAGGCGTTAAGGGCGGGTGAGTTCCGCACACTAAAATTATTCATTAAAATCCGCTCCAATCAAACGAAATTCACTTTTCCCCCAAAACCCGCACATCGCTTTATGAAAACTGTTTTCATAGTTGAAGAAACCCGCGAATTATGTCAGAAACTACCACATTAAGAACTCCGAAAGTCCATAAAGCAAAGCGCTAAGCATAATAATAAGTGAGTAATATGCAAAGCAGCGGCAGAAGCACAAGACAAATGCAAATTTGACACGAAATAAATAGGATTTGGGGGTATGAAAACTATCCCCAATCCTTTATAACCGCAATATGGCACCACCACCCATCTGGCTGACAAACTGTGAAGTCATCATCCTGGCTTAGCAACTCATTCGAGTGACTGGAGAGGATCGGGGAAAAGGAAATCCAGACAGACAGACAGACAGACAGGGAAGAGCCATGTGACATGAGCCATGAGCAGGAGCATAAGTTTCCATTCATGATTTTCTATGGTCATGAAACGGGGAGTGGAAGTGGGTGGGTTGTGTGTAGTTTTGGCCGCCGGTTGGAGGTTTTAAATTAGCATTTGTCACGTTTTTTGTCTTTCACCCCGAGCGGTTGTTAGGTTGTTATCCCGGTCATGAGCCTGGGCCCTCAATTTAACGCAAGTTTTCTCGGTTTAAGTTGGTCCCGAGTCCTTCTCCTCTCCCTTCACGGAGTTGGATGATTTATGCCCAGCGGAAATGATAATAAAAATGCTGGGAAATGCGTAATAAATAAAGCGAATTAGTCTATTTAGTTGGCTCGTGGCTTCCCCATCAGTGCACTTTGTGTGAGGGAGGGAATTCGGAAAGCAAAAAGTGCAGTCAACTGTAGAATTACTCAAACATAAGAATATCTCAAGAACTTGTGTGAAGAATTCATAAAATCTGTATACTTATACTTGTATACAAAAATACATGTAACTCAATTTTTAGCTCTGCTTGAGATGTCTTACACTTTTTAAGACAATTATTCTTGTAAGATGGAGCACAGTCCACTTAAAACCTCTTCTACCAAATTTCAAACAACAGAGCTTCCGTTTGTTTACTGCAACCGGTCATTACAAAAAGATCGACAACAATGGATCAACAACCTAATCCGCTATTATAATAATAACAATGATGATGGCATCCAAAACCGTCGCTACTTGAAATCGCCAAAGAGTTGAAAAGAAAGAAATCTTTCAGATAAATACATTGTGTTCTTCATGCGGTTGATGGAAACTTTGTTGTCTAAGCGAATTTAATTGCTCGGTGGAAGATCCCAATTCGGTTGGACTCTCAATCAAATCCATAGCGCCATCAATGAAATAAATGCTGAAGACTTTCAATAAGCGGCGCCTGTAATTATCAACTTGGCCACAAAAGGCCAGAAGAGCAGATGGACGACTACCGTTTAGGGCAATTGATAATGGCTTCCAGGCATCTACCAGATACGTAGATACTCTCTCTCTCTATGGATCTGACACACTCATTTCCAAGTGAAATAGCTGATTCAGCGCCCAATTAAACGGCTATGGCGACCCCGAAAGAAAAATGATTATTTAAACGAAATGAAAGAGTTGACCGGACAAAGAACGCAAATATTTCGAGTGGCAATTATTTTAAACACACACCAAGGCAACCTCAAACTGAGCCGAAACGAAGCTGCATTTTTAGTCCAAGTCAAGATGCACAGTGGTTCGAGATCACACTTTATTGGTTAATTTAATCCGAATATTTGGAAATTATTATAAGCAACAAAGTTGCAAGAGCAAATACTATGAAAACATATAATATAAAAAGCTATAACTTTTTCTCAACTAAGATACTAAGTTTCTGAGCTAGCGATGTATTCCTTTAAAATGTATAACTTAAATATTATAAATATAAGGTGATCTGTGTAGTGACATACCTAACACCTTTTAGAATTGTTTGTGCCACTGTGCTTGCATCACGGTGATAATTGATAAAGCCCTTTTTTCTTAACCCCTTCCCATCCCTAACCCCACTGAGAACTGAATTCATCTGCGATGTTGTTCGCTTCACTTGCAGGCATTACGCCCGGTTACTTTGCGCCCGGTCCCACAGCGGCTGCCTATCACCTGGGCAGCCATCTCGGCCAGACATCGACGCCAACCACGACGCAGGTGAGTCCCGCTGCCCTTTCCACCTTTCCACCTTTCGACCCCTCCTCCACGGGCCTCAAGTGCCACCGTGTCCATCAAAACGGCTGAACGGTAGCGGAGACCAATTACAGACATATATATAGTGTGTGCACATGGGCGGAGGTTACTGCGGCACGGTTGCCTTAATAACATAATTACAAACTCCTACGGAAGACTCCCACTTTAAAAGGCGGAAAACACGCCGTCCGATGCACCGAGAGAAACTAGATACTACTAGAAAATACTAGAAACTAGACTGGATAACACAACCATCTTAAACTATAAAGTGGTTAAGTTGAAGAGCGCTAGTTTTCCTATAAAATTTGTTCTATTCTTCCTACATTATTTGTAACGTTTGATAAATTTTTTACTATTTAGCAAACAAGTTCTACAAATGTAGTATAGATCCAATCATTATTTTCGTTTGGAAACTCTTTGTTATGGGTACTATTAAAAACTAGATATAGAAGATATGAGTAACTATGTACTTACATTAGTTTAGCAAGGACCCAAAATGATGTAGAAAGCCATTCCTTATTTTCCTCGGTGTATCTGTGACTAGGCAGGCGAGAAAGCGGTAGATCCTGGCCCAATTGAGTTTTCTGACACGTCATGCCAAAGGATTTGGCCGGCCAGTTGTCATTACATGTTTAGCGGTTCCAGGGAGTGGGGGTTCCCCTTTTCGGCCAGATCGAGTTGATAAACAAGGGCAGGCGTGCCCTCAGAAACAAACAAACTCGGACAGGTGGGATGTGTGATCGTGAATCGAAATGTCCTCAAAAGTGGAACAGCTGCCCCAAGGAAAGCTGCAAGGAATCCCGAGAATGGTTGAGCTGTAGCCAAAGTTCGGCCCTTTGTGCCTCCATCAGGTGGCCAGCTACCCATGCCCAACTTCAATTGATTAACAAAGCCCATTAAAAGCCATGACTCTCGGCTAGCGACCATTGTCCATTCTGTTCAGGGGCACGTAATTCTCGGGGCGATGCCTATTTCTCTCCGTGATTGATGTGGCGTTGCAGATGCGGTGCGGGTGTTGAAGGTCTGGCACTACCATTTGCTGGATAATAACACACATCGTTCCTCCGCCATAATAATAGACTAAGTTTAAGCCAAACAAATCTCGATTTTGAGTGATGGAATGAAGGAGCATTGGTGTCCGAAGGAAAATTGCATAGTGGGCGGGTCTCAAACCTCTGACATGGCAAATTGCTGACAGCATTCCTGGTTATGTTCGTATGGGAACTCTTCCATCGGCTTTTAGCTTTCATCATTGGGCTCTTCGATTAATAGCTCTATGTTAATATTGTAAATAAATTTGCTTGTAAAACGAAACATTTTTTAATCAGTCTAGACCTTTAAAACGAATATGTTTGGTGGTTATGTTCTTCTTTTGGTTTAATTGATATTTTGAACAGGTAGTCTTTAATTGATCGTTGAAAATCCACTTAAAAAACCCCTTGTTGACACAGCTGCTGCAGAATTCCTAACTAAACACCAAGCTGTCATCCTGGCCCACCTGCCCGAAAGAACCACGTTGCGTAACCCACTCGGCCAACAAGGGGTTTTAAACCAATTAACTGGCACCCGGATAAGTAACCGGAGCCTTCGCCCAACAAGACAAACAGAATATCCACTCGGTAATGCGATGGATCAAAATATTTACGAATCCACACTAATTCCCGATTGGGTGCAAATCAAATCAAATTGTAATCCAAAACGCTCCCGGCACCAGAGACAAGCCAACAAACAGGGAAGCCAGGATTGGGGAGGCCAGCGAGGATGACGAGGAGGATGGTGATGATGATGATGTGTTAACAACATAATTATAGCCCAGAGCCAAGTGTTTGCTTCGGCTGAAAAAAAGGGGAGCGCAGTGCACAACCCCTCGGCCAGAAGCAACCACTCAAAACAAAACGGAAATGAAGCAAAACAACCCTCTGATGTGCTTAGTACCCGTTAACACTCACACTCACACTCACATTCACATTCACATTTTCATTCCCATTCAACGAGGAGAACTGGCAACTGGTGTAGCAATGAAAAACGTATTGCAAATCAAATAAAATTAAATTGAGACCGTTTGGGCTGGCAGTACGGGGGAGGCGCAGCTGGGGTTGTTTTCCGCCTTAGCCACAATTAGTTGGTCAAATAAAGCCGCAAAAGTGTTAAGCAATTTGCACTAATCAGAAGGTTAAGCACACCAGGCTTCTGCGGTTGAATTCGCTCAAATTAAGTGGGATCGCTCGAGGATCCCAGCGGCGGAGGTCATGGTTTCCATGGCACCCTTAGATGTTGCTCAATAGAAATTACCCGGTTATCTGTTATTGATTTATAAGGCTTAAAGGTTTTTTGCTAGGTTACATTGAAAGGTTTCGTTTCGCTCTGATAACGATGGTTCAAGAGCTTAAGGTGAAGTTAAAATACAAATATTTAGCGATGGATTCTACTTTGATATTTGATATCTGCTTTGATACCTGAAAGTTCACAATCAAACTAAGTATCCTTTTACCCTCTTTCACAGGCCACCCTCTCCGGCCAGATGGACAAGTTCGCCCTGGAGCGCAGCTCGTATCTGAGCAACTCCTCGCAGGCGAGTGCCTACAGCGCCTACTTGGACCCCAGTGTGCTGACCAAGGCGTATTTCGACTCCAAGATGTACCAGGATCGGGCGGCCAACTATGCCTTCGACATATCCAAGATTTATGGTGCGCAGCAGCATGCAGCAGCCCACCACCAGCAGCAACAGCAGCAGCAGCAGCAGCAGCAACAGCAGCAGCAACAGCAGCAACAGCTGCTGCTCAGCGGGGGCGGGGGCAGTGGCGGGGGCGGCAGTGCCAGCTCGCACAACAACAACAGCAGCAGCGGACTGGATGACCGCGATGCCACGCCCCAATTGGAGGCGGTGGAGTCCAAGCCGCATCTGCACTCGCCCAGCGATGTGGGTGTGGGTCTGGACTATGCCCAATATGCCCAGCAATATGGCGGTCAGTTGGCATCGGCAGCGGCAGCGGGTGGTGCAGTGGGTGGTGGGGCCGTTGGCGCTGCCGGGGGCTCGGCGGGCGGTGGGGGTGGTGGCGCCACCGCCGCGGACTTTCGGCGACCGCTAACGGTGATCTTCTGACCACCATCTTCCAATGGCAGCGAGGAGTTGAACTTGTCCATGACCTAGGAGCAGGAAAGGGGATCACTCCTTTTCCGTTCGCAATTCTGATCAGGTTTATCCGAATCGGGCAGAAGTATCATGCATTTTCCCGAAAGTGTTTAACCTTTCTCTGTAAAAGAACATCAGATATTCAGTTTATTATGGGTGCAACTTCAGCCGATTTGTGAGCCTCACCACTTCATCAGAATTTCCAACGCGAAGCGAGTGGAAAAGTCCCCAAAAGGATATAACGAAAAGGGTAACACGAATATAACCGAAAATGCGAGATTAAAGTTAAACGTAGCCAACATTTACATTTAAGTCTCCAGTTGTAAACTAAAGTTAAGCTTTGTTAAAATAGAGCAAGCGGCAGAGTGAAGAGGTGACCGAGAGATAGGATATGAAAATCAGTTCAGAGAGGCAAAATCACTTGGGGAAACAACTTGGGGAAGGAGAAAATTTCAACAAATTGAAACAACAACGAGCGGTGCAATTTTTTATGTTTTAAACGCAGATCGAAGTGCATAGCATAAATTTAAAATTAAATTTAAATGTATTTAAATTCTACACTAGACACACACAAAACACAGCAAAATACACACAAAATATATACATCAGAAACCAGAAAAAATCAAAAATCAAAAAATAAAAGACGCATTGTCATCAGCAGCAAACGAAGTATTTTTTTAAGGGGGGATGAGCATTTCGAATTTAAAATCAAAGAAAATCATAAAAACCGAATAAAATGTTTTCATATACACTATTCAAGTACAACCAAGTTTCATGGTAATTTAATTGAATTGCAAACAGTTTTAATTTCATTTAATTAATTGCAGAGTCTGGGCCATTATACTTGTTATCCACATAGCGTGTGGGCGGAAATGGCTGGCTGGCAAAAGTCAAGAGCGCTAAACGCTTCCTAATGACGGCAACTTCTGGCCAATCAGGTTGACAAAATGCAGCCGAGCAAACTGAATTGCTCAAGCAGCCGCAGCAACTTAACGCTCAAGTTTGAACCGTGGCTCGAAATTACCGTTGGCCACTAATTAATGGGCGTGCGCAAGTTGAGGTGCAAAAATCCAAGTAAATTTAATTAATTTTACGCTCTCTTAGCCGTCGGCAATTAGCGGCAATTGTGGAAGTCTCTATAAACTCTTGGGGTAGATTGAAACCAAAAGTGTCGCATAAGGACGGCCCACTTATCAAATATTTTGCGGCATAGGAAGTGGTTTAGTCAACGAGTTTCCTATTAAAATTATAATCTTTTTGCTTACATTTGTGAAGATACTTTTCTTTCTTTTTATCATTAATCAGAATATATTCTAAATCTACATGACCAATATGTAGCATTCTACATTTTTCTAGAGCGACACCTAGCGGATTAAAGGTGACTCTGTCGAATTTCGTTCGCGCCATCTAGCTACTGTCAGCCCATTTGCAGATAGGTGTCGCCTTCATCAATGTGTAGAAATTCGATGTCAGATTTATGTAAATTGTAGCTTACGCGTACCGCCGCCAGATGGCACGTGTTTTGTAAATTAATTTTAAATACAGTGTACATTCCTCAGAGTGAACTTACGCCAACAAATGCTAGTCTATGAGCATACAAAAGTACAAATATTTTGTATAAATTTATTTTTTGTTCCTACAATTTTGATTTCTTTGATAATTGCCCCGTATTAAAATAACTATATGATTTGGCATTTGCCATGAATTTGGCACAAAAACTGTTTTAAGGGGGCTGAACTGATTTAATTAAAAACCATTTAATGCTGTTAATTTCCCATTAAAAACGGTTTAAATTTGTTGTCATTTTCATTATTTTGTTCCGTTCAAAAACGGGAAAAAATGTTCAAATTATAATAATAGTTTCCTAAAGCAAAAACAACCGTTCATTTTGTATGTGAAATGGAAAACTTCAAAGATTTGTAACTAAAAACTTAAACTATATTACATTAAATATTATTATATTAACAGAAAAAATAAAAATAAATTATAAATAATATTTTACATATTTCAGAATCGTTTACAAGTTTCTTTATGGAACATTTCCTTTATTTTCATCATCTACTTTCTTCATTATACTAAATTGCCTTTGCTAATAAGCGAATTGTCTCAGTCTGGTTATTTTCCAAAAAGTTTTCCAGCTTAAAATAAAGTTTTTTTTTGTTGGGGAACTTCCCATTTATTTCCATTTTCCAACGCCACCCACTATTCTTATCAGCCTCCTCATTCGACTGCTTCGCATTTGCCCTCATTTCAAACACAAATCACGATTAGTACGGGCACATTTCCCATTTTTGGTCAGGTGAACCCAACGCGAAAGGAAAGTAGGAACAAACGAGATAGACAGTCGTCGGTCTGCCAGAGTTGGCAAAAATTTGTGCGACGCTGTTAAATCCCAGCCATAAATTACTGCAACTAAACGCAGCAAACAATGCTGCGGTGGGTCATGCACAAAAAACGCCCAAAATTATGACTGCAGTGGTGACAACGAAATGGCGATGCGTTAAAGAAGAAGTGATGCGAATTTAGCCATTGAGCTACTCTGCTACAAAAATATTGTTGATATGTTGTTATATATTTTAGCTAGTCTGGCAATTTTCCAGATTTTTAATTTAAGATTAATTTAAGTTTAAGATTTTTAATTTTTAATTTTAATATTAATATATGTTAATAATAATGTCAATAAATATGAATATGTTATATGTTAATAAAACATTCAGAATATCGTATTCACCTATGAATACGATTAAGCTTTAAAAGTAACTAAATTTGTAATAATACCCTAATACCCAAATTTCCCCGCTACACTAAGTTGTGGTGTCTACTACCTTCACTTTTTGTGCTGCATTGTCCTGTGAGATGACCGCATAATAGGGCCAGTCATAATGTCCATTAAGAGGGAACAAATAAAGGAATGGCGATGTCCTCGAGCCGAATATCCTGCTCCTCTGCCAGCGGAAGATAAAGCGAATCCTCAGAGACGTTCTCGCCAAGGACCACCAGTTGCTGGCGCTTTTGTTTTGGGTCCGTCTGTTCTGGCTTTTGGCCAATAAAATGCATTCAATTCGCATGCAAAACAAAAAGCGATAAAAAACGCGTCACCATTGAGAACGCTTCTAAGCAGCGGCCCCCATTCCCCAAACTCCATTTCCCGCAGCATTGTCTACGCCATTGGTCCAAAGCGCCTGAAATCGACATGCGCGCAGTTGCAGGGGTGGGGGAGGGGTGACAGTGGGCGTTGGGGGTGTTTTGAGGGGGAGGGGTTTGGAGTTTGGGGCCGCGCACGCACACACACATTTCTAGAGCGCTGCCATTTTTACTGTTGTGCGATGGTTGAGGGGGGAGCCCGCCAAATGCGTTTCCTACTTGGCATTTGTTTTGGTGAACTGAGACATAGGGAAGGGGTGCAAAGAGGGGTAAGTCGGGGAGTCGAGGGTAGAAACTCTACAAAAGTTACGACCATTTGGAGAGCGACGCTTGCGCATGACAATCCTTCAGGAAGATATCTTTTTATGGCGCCAACAGTTGTTTTTTAAAAATGCCACAGGAATGCAAGTCAAAAATCTTAAATGGGGTTTGATTCCTAGATCTTTTACAGAAATGTAGGCATACAACATGTTTATATCCCTAAAAAAATGTAAAAAATTTGGTTTTAATCTTCTTTTTTTTATCCTTTCTAGGTAAGCATTTAGGCTCGCTAAATTAATTGGTAAAATTGATTTGAAGATTCAGTCTATCCTGTGGAAATGTTGCTAAAAGCCCTAATAATCGCTCAATCCTAATAATTCTAAGTGCAAAATATTTAGTTCAAACAAATTGTGATCCGAAAATGATTATACTGGAAGTTCTAATAGAACACCGACTAGTGAACCCTTGCATATTACACACTTTTCTGTTGACATTACACTGTAAACACCGGAAAATTGTCTAATTTCTTAGTATTCGTGAAGGTAGAAGCACCCTTAGCGGAACATTAAATCCGCCAATTATAAAGAGGGGCATTTATAAGACATTTTTAGCAAATTTCTAAAGGTGGTAATATTAGAGGTTAAGGGCTTGTTATAGTGCAATTATACAGAAATCGATATTGGTACAACAACATCAAGAATGGAGAATTTCCGGTGTGTAACAAACAAGGAGAGCAATTGAAATAACCCGATCCCGCCAACAAAAAGGGACAATCTTACGCATACCTAAGTTTGCAGCAAACATACCAAATAAGCCACCGATCGATTGTGAGAGCAAACACGAGTCCAATACAGAGCGAGAAATTATAGTTTTTAACTGGACTTTTTTAAGGACTATGCATATAAATAAATATCCCACATAATTTCGTTGAACTCCTTTTAGCGCCTGATTGTGGATTAAGTTTTAAAAGCTAAATTTAAATTTAAATTTTGTATCTCATTAAGATAGAATTAACTAGAGTTTCTCTGGACTTCTTTAAAATTTAATCTTTTTACATTGGGCCTGTTATAAGAAGTTTTAATTGGATCACAATTGCATAGAAGATAAACTCAACCGAAGTGGTTTAAAAAGTCATTTAATAATGATTTAAAATTATATAAACTAATACATGACCTACATAATTAAACAGAATTATAGAAATTATAGAAAAAAAGATTTTATTACAATACCAAATAGAATGTAAATGGATTGTTTTTAATCAACTGACCCGAAACTATATTGGCTTGAGATTTTGATAAAAACAAAATGCATACATTATCAACTGGCGAAGAGCAGAAGGAGCAGTGTTCGGTAAACAAGAATGCAAACGCGCACACACACCGAAAACGAACCCGAGACAATTGTCAATAAGATACAAAACGCAGATACAAAGATACAAAGCAGCAGCAGCGAATTTTTATCACTTAGCCGCCACGTTGACGCGTCCTCCGAAGGTGTAAAAAACTCTACAAAATGTGCGCGCTCCCTCTCGCTCTCTCTCTCCCTCTCTCTCTCTCGTTCGCTCGCCACCCTTCTCTGTTGCACTATCTCTCGCCCCGTCTCGCTCCCACTCGGTCCTTTTGGGCAGCAGCGACGCAGCAGCGACCAACCACTACAGAGACATCCTCACACCCACGCTCTTCCTCTTGCCCCCTTTTGTTGCGTTTGTTTGCCGTTTTTGTCGCAAGTTTTCGAATGTGTTTTCAAATCCAAATTGTCGCGCACTCGAAACGGACGCGCTGCGCTCGGCTAACGGTGAATCGGCAGTCTAACGGTTTAGATACTTCCCACGTTCGTAAGTTCGGTACTCTATAAATCTCGAACTGTTTGGAAAATAATTTGAAAATTCATATCAGTGCACTTGTGTATTTTTAAAAGTGCTTTTAGCGATCGACAATTAATACGCAGCAAATATTTATGAACAAAAAGAACACGATCGCATAATAAACTCTTATGCAATTTAATGGCTTGTTAAGTGTCATACATCGAATGGCATCCAAATTCAAACTGTGTTAAGGAGGAAGTAAAAGACAATTATTACAGGTAAGTTGATTATGCTATAAAAATATTCAAACAAGGTCTTTGGGTAAAAATTTCGAACATTTAAATAAACAATATATAAATAGCTGTGCTCTAAATTAAACTGATAAATTCTCCACCTTGAAATTACCTTAATAAATCCAACTTATGCGTTTCATTAGGAGTATAATGAATCTGTCGGAATAACGGAATCTGCAACACGTTGTATACATTTGAGAAATATTCAACATCTTAAACATTAGAATAGCTTTTTGGTTTCAAAACTTCCACACTCTCTCTAAAAATTTCCATATTCGTCTTGTAAAATGGTATTGCATTAATTAATTCTTCATTCAAAATGGTTTTCGTCGTTATATGTCGGATAATACTAATTGAAGGGAAATCCCCAAAATCCGCAGAACTGGATCATAAATTTGGCAAATATTTACATACATTGATTAGTCACAAAACTGGGACGTCGCTTCGAGCCCCCTTTATACACACATTAGAAGGGATAAAAGGAGCTCCATTGTGCATTTTTGGAGCAAATTCGCAGTGCGTGGAGCTCCAATCAAATGACTCATGCTCGGGAGCAGCAGAAAGAGTGGCAAAGCTAACAAGGCATATCTATTGAATACCATTTCCGTTGACATTTCAGAGTTCGAGGAGCAGCTGCAGCACTACCACCTGATAATTACCACCTGCACCCCCAGTGGAGTCCCCCGACTCTGCGCCAGGCATCATGACGAGCATCTCGGCGCTGCTCCACCGGAGCCACAGCCACAGCAATGGTTACACGAGCAGCGGGAGTAGCAATCACAGCCATAGCAGCAGTCTCTCACCGCAGTTGCCCGGCATCAATTTGGGTTTGGGCATGGTCGGTGGCTTGGGTATGGGCATGGGTGTGGGTGCGGGTGCGGGTGCGGGCTCTGGATCGGGAAACACCACCCCACCACCAATGCCGCCAGCTGACCTCGCAGTTCCGACAGCGCCACCCACTCCGGTGGCACCCAAAATGCACCAGCACCAGCACCAGCATCCACACCCGCACTCGCACCACCATGCCAACTCCCACCATAATGCCCCAAACAGCCAGTCGAATCCGAATTCTGGGGGCCATCACAACAGCCACGACCACATTAAGCGACCAATGAACGCTTTCATGGTCTGGTCGCGGGGGCAGCGTCGCAAAATGGCCCAGGACAATCCAAAAATGCACAATTCCGAAATATCAAAGCGCCTGGGCGCCGAGTGGAAATTACTCACCGAAGGACAGAAGCGTCCATTCATCGACGAGGCAAAACGATTGCGGTAAGTGTTGTTCACTGGGGTCTGGTTAAAACACACTGAGCAAAACTATGTGTACCAAATGCAGGGTTCTGTAACATTAACAAAGTTTGCGACAGAAAATCGAGCATATTTTTTCACGAAAGTGCTTACCTTTGAATTTCTAGGTCCAAGAAACACTGTTTTCTCAAAAATGTATTTAAGTTAAGAACTTTATATATATTTATAGTATATTTGTGATCATCCTTAAAATAAATAGGTATGGCCCATGTTGTGGTAAAAATTAGGGATAATCATATTGCAGTAATTCCATAATAATATAATAATTTGCAGTAATATAATAATTTTTACTGGGAGAAATATTACGTTTAGAATTTTGTTGACGTTGCCTATACTTCCCATCCTTAAATCACTTTATTAGAGTGTTTATTCGGTATTATTCAGTGCCCAAGATGTTTGTTTTTTTCTGTGCCGGCTTATGCAGGAGTAGAGTGGTGTAGGTTGGATGGGAAATTCTGGCTTGGTTTCGGTTACCGTTTTCCCAGTTGGAAGCTCATTCTCACTAGATGCCGTCTGTCTGGCCACAAATTTGATCGATTAGCTAAGACAAAGGCTCCCTATTGTGAGGAGCTCCTGCTGAATTGTGGAGCTCTGGAGGCGGGGATTGTGTCCGCTCTGCTTAGTCAGAATTTCATTGGCACTGCCATATCTTGGGTAAACATTTCAATTGATGTTGTCACACAAAAGCGAGGCAACACGTCGCATGAAATGCTCCATTCATTTTGCATTTTGCTTCTTTTTGTGTGCTTAGCCCATTCAGTGTACCCTTTCGGAAGGGTTTAAGTAACTTAAGATTCGGCTTAGTTTAATGCAAATATTTAGAACTGGAAATTATATCAGAAAGCAGTTCTTTGTACAAGAAAAGTTGTGAAAAGCTGGAATTTTTAAATAAAGTAAACGATATAATTGGAATATAAATTTGAAGTGCGCTATAAACTATCGGAATTCCCAGAAACGCCGTATCTCATAAATTCAATGGGAACGTACTCACTTTTTTGTCAATACCTTCCTAGATAGTGCGCGGTCTTAGATGATGACGAACCTCAGTGTTTGCACTGTCATAATCCTTTTATTGATTGGATTGGCCTGCCAAAATGAAAATGTGAAATTTATGTACATTTTATGACATTTATAAATGATCAGAGCTCGTCAGAAGGGGCTTAAACTAATGGCCATTCGGGGTTTTCGAGCGCGCATATCGAATGAAATGAACCAAAAATTCTGATCAAATATTTGCCAATGCGCGATGATAAGAAGAACAATATTTTTTTCGGGACCAGCGATAAGGCGGCCATAACTGACCAAAGAAAGAAAACAAAATAAAGAAAAGCGAAAGCAATACAAGAGGAGGCGACCCAAACACACCTTTTATCAGGTTTTATCGTTTTGTCAAACAAATGTCAACAATTGCGCATTGTTGCAGCTGGGAAATCGGAAAGTGAATCGAAGTTGGAATCGGAGTGTGGTGGTTCTTCGCTAAATACACAATATAAACTTGTGCATTTTGTATCTGTGGTTTGTATGCGTGGGTTTATGACCAGAGATGGCTGGCTTTATGATATCATCAAAGTTTAAATCGTTCGATCTCTTGATCAGTGTTTCAACATTTATTCTATTTACAGGGCCCTGCACATGAAAGAACATCCCGACTACAAGTATCGACCACGTCGCAAGCCCAAGACGCTCAACAAGTCACCGGTGCCAGGTGGTGGTGGTGTAGGTGGTGGAGGCGGCGTAGGTGGTGCCAATGGTGGTGCCAACGGTGCTGGTGGCGGTAGCTCCGGTCCCGGTGGCCCAGGCTCAAGTGGCTCGCCCAAGGATATGCAGTCCCAACTGTCGCCCTTGGGTCAGTCGCTGCCCCATCTCCACGGACATCCGCACCAGTCGCCATATCAACCGCATCCACACCACCCGCATCCCCATCCACATCATGTCCAGCTGGCCGCCGCCACCTTGAGCGCCAAGTACGGATTTGGTTCGCCGCTGGAGTTGTCCCTGCCCCGCCTGCCGAATGCCTTTCCCGGCCTCGCCCACTATCCACTGGATCCCACGCTGGCCCTGGACCTCCAGGCGCGCCTCCAGGCGATGTACGCCGGCTCCATCTACCACCCGTGGCGGTATCTGCCGCTGATAAGTCCGGAAACTCCGCCCTCCCCGCCCAGCAGCAGCGGCACCGGCATCTCATCCTACGGATGCGTCAAGTCAGAGAAGTCCTCTCCAAATGCGGTAGTGGCCAGCACGGCCAGTCCGCCGAACATCATTTGACCGACTCCTTTGCGCTTCGGCGCCGGCACCTCCTCATCCGCAGAACACGTGGTCTAGGAGTTTGGATGGTAATTGATCGTCCAGCCCCAAAAGTTAAAAGTCCTAATGTTAGAGCCTAGTGTTAGACGAATATTTTTGCGTGTCCTCGGTTGCTACTTTTGTTTTATGTTATGTTTTGGGTTCTGATTTAGTGCGGCTTTACTATTTTTAGCGTTTAGCATGATGAACATTAAATTGCAAACTGCATTCAAAATCTCAGTTCAGTGAAAGATCCAAGCTCGAAAATCAATAGCACTTTTAAATTAAGCAAATTTATAAAAAAAATCATAAGGACTAAGAAAAAACATTTAACAGTCCCGTATAACTTGAATATAGTTTCCTAAGTGACATTTTTGGGCTATCAGTTATGAAAATACACTAAATCATTTGAATTCGTAGTTTAATATTACTTTGACTGCGCAAAATATTTTTTTATTGATACGTTGTTATATGGATAACTCAATTATTTCGATAAAGCTTTGAATTATTACCTCAGCTTAAAACACATTTTGAATGTTTTATTCATACTTATTTTTAGGACTTCACAATCTTTGTTATCGATTTCTGGAACCCAAACAAATTGCTTATTAGGTCTAAAGTACATTCGATTTGTTAAGGCATCGAGAACATGTCCACACTTATGTAATATATGATTGTAAAACTATACTTTAATGTGATAAAAGAAAGAGCAGAAATCTAATTAAAAAAACAGTGTGAAAATGCACGACTTTCAAACAGTGTTCTATATGCAAGCAGTGGGATTGATGGCTAAATTCAGACAAATAGTTTTTGCGCCGATAAACATAAAGAGACCTGGTGGAAACGTGGTGAAAATCAGAGCTTGCAACCGGTGAGGAGGAGTCACTGCCAAACGCCAAACGCCGCAGGCCAGAGGCTTCTGTGAATATAACGACAATGTTTGCTGATGCGTTGATTATTAGTTTAAATTGCCGACACGCCGCGGGGATGAATGGATGACGATGGCCAGGATTGTCTGCCGTTTCGGAAGGGTGGCGATCGTCCTTAATGGGATTCCTTCACGCCCACTTGTTTAAGCGGCCAACTGTGAAGCGCTCATCGCCGAGGCGTGTCAATAATTCTCGGCCCAAAAACAATTGGCACTTTTTTGTCTGAGCTGAGGCACTGCACGAAACAAAGCAGCAGCAACCACCACTATTATTGGACTCTACTCTGGGTGGTTGGGTGATATATAGACGGCGTGGCGGTACAGGGCAATCGCGACAGCATCGTAACCAGCTGAAAAGCCGCCCATAAAAGTCGCCCAAGTGCCACGCTGCAACGCAACGAAAGTGCTGATAAGGAGTGCCAAATACCAAGGATGCCGCACCCAACTCAGCCTCCTTGCCCCACACACCAACCTCTGCTCCAAGTTTCACTCAAAAAAACCCTACCTCAATTCAGGAATTCCGCAGATATTCGCTAACTAGATGTTTGCCGAAAAGATGTCACTCAAAGGTCGGTTCAAAAACATATTAAATTACTTGGGCCAACATTTTTGGATAGGAAATAAAGGTATATTTAAAAGATCAGTTTTTTTAAGTGTTGACTGTCTGCCCTTTTCCACAATCACACAGACATTGTGGCGTGCCTTTTGTTGCCCGCAAGGTCGTTTTTATAGTGTCCTGGCCCTATTCACACTCACAGTGACAGTCGGAGACTCGAACTTGAATAAGCATTTAATGTTTGCATTCTGACCTCACCTAAACACAGACAAAGGACCTGGCATCCGCTTTCATTCTCCACGAAAATCACTTGTGCGAAAGTCTATGAAATGCTACAACAATATTTGCCCAATGAAATTGGGAGGGCAGAAGGGCCACCCCCAAGAGAGCAATCTGTGAATTTGTTCGACTGTGGGAACTTACAAATTGCCGAGATGTTTTGGGGCTTGCGAGGCAGCAATTGAATCAAATTGAGGTTGTCCCTAAAAGCATACTGCACTTTTCGACATTTTTTACAAATATTTATTAACAAACACTTAATTGGCAGTAAAGCTGCAGCCATTTTGAGATCATTTTCTAACTGATACTGATAATTTAAAGATACTTTAAGGAACTAACCTTGGTGGAAGTATCTCAAAGCTTTTCACCGAGAGCGCGGCACTCGAATATCGCAATTATCACAAAAATTTAACGGGCCACTGGCTTGGGTGGCATCCAGAAGCGAAGTCAACTGGCTATCAAAACTAACAGACACGCGCTGCACGTGCGACCCCTCACCTTCGACCCCGATCATCAGCATCAGCAGCAGCTCGCTGTACTCGTACATATATACTCACTTGTTTCAAGACAAATAAAAACATTGAAAGCGAGTCAGTGGGGGAGAAAAATAGCAGAGCGAAAAACGTGTGAAATAAAAGTTTGTTTGATTTGCTTTGTGCGGAGGAAGTGGGCGGGTGGGAGCGAGTTTTTGGAAGCCCTGCAGTCGTGGTGACAAAAATGCACAGACAAAAAATATAGGTCACATTCCTAGGATTATTGTATCCAGTTATAAGGCGGGTTTGACACGCCCTCTAAATATTTTGCGGTCTTCCCCTTACTAACATCTTTTAAAATATTTTAAAGTCATCGAGCAAGGTAGTTAGTTAAATTTAAAAATTACTATAACTGATTTGCCACTGTTATCAGGGGACTCTGCTTTATTTTTAACTGTGCACTGATAAAACAGCGACTGGATTCCCATTCTTTCTCCATTCAACCGAGCCAAGTACTAGCAGCACACTACTCAAGTCGGGGAATTTTTTGTTTTATTTGGCAGGATGCTGGCGAAGGTAACCCCAGCCCAAGGACTCTATCGCCACTTCCACAACCCGACTCCACCTCCATGCCCATCCTCCCTCCTCCCATCCTTTGCTATTTCAGTCCTGGCACACTCACATCCGTTGTGATAAAAAGAAATATTTTCTTTTGGCAGCAGACTTTGGCTTTTCTTCTTCGTTTTTGGCCCAATGCTTCATTATTACTATATTTATATTTATTTGCTGTACTTTTTCTTTCATTCCATTCCATTTCATTTCATTTTGCTGACTGCCGACTGTTTAAGGTGGCCCAGAAAGACCATTACGCAAAGGATATTGTGTGGCCATGAATCAATTGGCCAATGTCCACAGAAAAAAGTTATGCCCGGAAATATGTTGAACCGCCAAAGTGATGACATTCCATTTGCATTTTCTAGGCTATTTCACAGCAAAAGGTCGCCAGGCCTCGGCAACCAACGTAATCGCATGTAATAAATTTTAATTTTTTAAGCATTTGTAAGCAGTTTTATCAGCCCAACAAAGGACGCACAATATTTTTTTAATGCCAAGCCGAGCCGAAAAAAGGAAAACGCGAAAAGGATATAAGATTAAGACGCCATGCCAAAGTTGAGACATAAAAAAAAACAACGCCAAGCAAATTAGCAGCCTAGAAAGTGGCTGTGGTTGCATGGCAAAGGGGAGGATGTGGTTTATCACGCCCACAGCTCGTCGACGGGAAATCCGACGCATGGAAGACAAACAAAAAAGGCATTAAATCGCATTTAAGTCAAAGCGCGGCGACAAAGCCAAAAACGAAAACGAAACCGAATCCCGAATCTTGAATCCTCAGTATGCAGATTTCAGCCAAGAAAGCCAAAGGAGCCAAAACAACCACCACTTCGACTTGACTTGGCTGAAACTCTCACGGGAGAACAAGGACAACTGGCACTCGAGACAAGGATGTGTTGTCGATTTTATGCAGCTTATCGCTCCGTGTTGTTTTATTCCTTTGGAGAAGGATCCACGATTCGTGAAAAAATCTTACTGAATGGCGGCAGAAACTTGTAAGTTCGATTGGTTTAAGTCTATTTGATTGATTTACCAACTGATTTGTTGCAATTTATTAATTCCTTAGTATATGGCGAACTTCCAATTTTTAAATTCACAAATGTGAGTGCGCACTGTTTTGCGAAAGGTGAACTGCGAACCGCGATAAGAAGCCTACGTTCAACCGCATGGCCCTATTTTGATAGCATAAAATAAGAAGAGATTGCAAAGTGGAATCGCTTGGCAACAGCGCGAACGGGATCAATGATCGAAGAAGGGCATGGTCAAAATGGTTAAAGTATTTTATGCCATATCGAGAAGGAACCAGGATACCGAAACTGCAAAATGCGTGGGAAGGATGCCCAGCATGGATGACATTACTATGCACATAAAGCGCATTCCACTCGAATGTCCGGCCCTGGGAGCAATTAAAGCGAGCAGCTGTCGCCTCCGCCGTAAATGCAGCGGCTCACAATGCCGGAATGTTTTTTCAGTCCGGGCACAGTGGGCGCAAAAAGGACACCCCTGCGGCACAAAGGAGCAATTAATGCGAAATTGTAGCTGCATAATTGCTGAACATGCAGCAAAAGGGGCGTCGAGCGGCATAAAGAAGCAATTAATGCCGTACAAATGCGCTTGGCATGCATAAAAATGGCAAGTTGCGAAAAAAACGCTTGTAAAGTGCAGCAGAGGCAAATCAAAGTTGCTTTTACCGCCCATTTTCTGGTAGCAAAAGCTGAAATCCAAGGGCTGAATGACCGGCCGGAGCTGCCAAACAATTGCAATTACATTAGAAAAGGCAACAGCACAGCAGCATTGACTACAATGACTCACAACCGAGCCGAGATAGCGATGGCCAAAATGCCTGTACATCATTACCATATCTCAGCTGGAAGGCTTTTAGCTGCAGAAAGTGATACCAACCCAACGAACAACATTTATCTGCTTATCCTACAGAGACGCACAATAGTGTGACTATAATTATGCAGGTTTAAGACTACCAGTTTCTTGATTATTTAAAGATATTAGAATTATTTATTCATGAGCTTACCTTGTCGATGAATCGCAGTGCCGTTTTCTTTGGGATACAGCACATCCCTAGGCGGAATCCAAGCTATGGCCACCCACGTACCGCTTTTCACTTCCGTTGCATGCCAGGCACGTTGCAAAATTGTCGCAGCACAGACAACCAAAAAAATAGAAATGGCAACAAAAATCGCTGGGCGCACACAAAAGCCACGGACAAACGAATTGCCAATTTAAATGTGAATAGAAAAATTGCATCGACTCGCCCCTCGCACTGCTCGCCCACCCACTGCAATCCTTTATCCTTTATCCTTTCACAATCGCCAATCACTCACTCACGCGAACAATGACGCTGCCAAATGCTACGTGGCCGTCATTTTCCGGCTCCAACTCTGCATCTTTTGCACTCGCAGTGTACTCACATGGGTATTCTAAGCACTCGCATTGGAATTTTGGCCAGAGTCCAAACTCTTGAGAAACCGCTGCGATCTTTCAGTGGACTTGAGCATAAACATTTCTAAACAAGCAGCATTTAGCATGCAATTAGCACTAACAAAGTTCAAATGAATTAGCAGCAATAATAATGTGCTAATTTGTCAAGCAAGTCACGCGTTCAGCGATTATGCTGATTTCTTGAACATAAACAAATTCATAAATTCTATGACTTATCAGCACAAAGTCGGATTTTTCCATGCTCGGATGTGGACTTCCTTGTCCTTATCGGCACTCAAAATTGCTTGATGAAGTAGATGAATTTCATATTCCTTTTCTTGCTAGTTTAAGTATATTATAAATAATATTAGGACGCTGCATATTCCAACTGCAGTTTGCTAAATGTTTGCGCCAAAAATAGGCTTATCAACGTTGCCAGCAAACACCAAGCACCTGCAAACAAATGTCAAAAGATTAAGCAGTGGCTTGCAGAATTGCAGATCAATGAACCAATTAAGATAGGTAGACTGGCTTGTGGACCACAAAATAGAAACGAACCGGAGTTACGTACCCTGTTTAGTACGAGTTCTGAAAGGCCCCACCGTTTTCGGACACAATTCATGACAACAACTTTTTAATTGCATAATGAGCGAGCGGTTTTTAGGGGCTTCTGGGCTGATAAACATATTTTCGCATCAGCAAAAGGCATTCAACCCAATCGGGAGTCAAGCGATAGGCCTATGGGCTGCACTGTGGGATGATAGGAATTTCGGGTATAAAAGCTGCAGCAAGCGGACTGGAAAATGCAGTTGCCTGCTGGTCTGTGTTGCAGCAAGCTAAATCCTTCGGAGCTCTCCAATCCTTCAGTTTGTCAAGTGATCAGCGATCAGCAAAAGTGACAAGCAAGATGAACAGAATCCTGCTGTTGGTGGCCTTTGCGGCAAGCGTTGTGGCGGCTGCAAGGATACCTACGAATCCGGACAGGGTTCAGACTCTGGGTATTGGTAAAGTGGTAACGCCTAAACGAAAAGGAGTTATATGTAATTTATTTTACCTGTTCCGCAGACCGCTTCTCCTTGGAGGATCTGCAGCGCCAAAAGTTCATCCTGGACATCGTCAAGAATATTCGCCAGCCTCTGCAGCAGATTGAACTCATCAATCTGGATGTGGGTCTGGTGGCTGACGGTCAGCGTTACTACGGCGGCATTGATGAGTTGATGCAGAGCGTCATCGATCTGGATCGCCAGCGTGGCCTCGTGGACGAGCACCATGTGTACTCTGTGGGTCGTTCCGAGGATGTGAAGCAGCTGCGCGGCATATACCGCTTGCTGGTTCGCGCCCAGGACTTTGATACCTTCAGCCGGAACGTGGTCTACCTGCGCCGCAACATTAATCCCGTCCTGCTGCTCAATGCCTTGGCTCTGGCCATTCGCGATCGCGTGGACACTCAAAAACTGATCCTGCCCGCTGTCCAGGAGCTGCTCCCCGAACTGTATCTGGATGAGGAAGTGATTCAGCAGGTGCGCGGAGCCGTGAGGGAGCAAACTCCGCGCCCCTCGCTCATGGACATTGTGGGTACGCGCCAGCGGGCCAGTAACCCTTTGTGGAGCATGCTGATGCCCTGGAGGGAGATTCACATGCAGATGGCTCAGAGGAAGCAGCAGCCCCTCCAGAAAGTTTTTGGCCAGAAACGCGTCGTTGTTCGTGTCGACAGCCAGGGACAGCTGGAGAAAACCTCTCTGCTGACCGACGATATTGAGTTGCAGAACCTTGTCCAAAATCTCATCCAGGAAATAGCCCTTTTGGAGGACGTTACTCAGGTCGGGCAAAGACAACGGATCAACAATCAACGAGGGGCAATCGAAGAGGGGCAATGGATCGGTCGTAATCGCGTGCAGTTCCAAGATAACAACCAGGAAAGGTATCAAGGTCAGGATGCGGATACTGGACGCCTACTCCGCGTGAGTCGCCGCCGCCTTCTGGAGCAGCAGGACCAAGACCAGGGTCAGAGCATCTATGGAAACCAGAACGAGCGATTCCAGCGACTCCTCCGCCGGGATGACGACAACGACGACGACGATCAAGATATTCGCTTGGGTCGTGTCCAGCTGCAGCGTGGAATCAGCCAGGGATATCTCGGCGCTAGAGGAGTTCGAAACCTGCCCACCGTTAGCGTGAACAGTGACCGTCTGCTCCACGTGAGCCGCCGCCGGTTGAACGCCATTCAACAAAACCAGGAGCAGGATCAGCTGAACGGTCGCCAACGTTTTATAGGTCTGGTTGGAGGAGAACGCCTAAGTGAGCGCCGTCGCGTTGGTCAGCTGGACGATGTGCGTCAGGAGCGTCCGATAAACCGTCAACGCCAGAACATAGCTCAGGCCGAGGAGGAGCAGAACTACAACTTCAAACAAGGTCGCAATTCGGGAGCATTCCAACAGGAGCGTCAAACCTATGCCGACCAGCTAGAGAGCGTGAGCCGCGACGATGAGCGGTTGGTGCATATTAACCGACGCCGCCTTAACCAGGACAACCAGAACAACCAGGACATCCAGCAACAGCAGATTTATTATCCCCGCAGGATTAACTCCATTGGCGAGGGTCGCCGCGTCATCGGTGGTCGCCCCATTCAGGATGAGGACATTCTGAAGCTGATCCGCGGCGAAAACCGTCTGAAGCTGATGACCGACGATGAGATCCTTGATATGCTCAAGAGGAACCGCCAGCAGCGTCAGCAGAATCACCAATACGACGATGACGACGATGACAACAACGATGATGAGGATGTGGTGCGCCGACAGGGACTACGAAACCGCCGCAGCCTTTCCACTTCCCGTCAGCAGAATGATCGCCGCAGCGAGATTCTCCTACACAATCTTCGCCAGCTGGTGGCCCGCCTGAATCAGGAAAGCATCGCCCAAGAAGAACAGTTCGGACAGAAGGAAATCGAACAATATGCCCTCCACTTGAACCAAATCCAAATCGATGCCGAGCGCAGCCGTGAAGTCTTCGGCCAGATCGGCCTGATTGAGCAGCGTCTCAAGGAGGTTCTTGGTCAGGGACAGGTGAATGTCGGCTCGCTGCGGGGCCAGATGATCGATGAAGTCCAAGTGGAATCCCTGATCGCCGATGTACTCTTGGGTCGCCGTGGTCCGGTGGGCATCATGACCGTCATCCGTCAGATGGTCCGGGACAACAGCGGTGAGCAAAGTGATCGTACCGGCTTGGGCATCCGCATTAGCGATCCCATCGTGCAGCTCGCCCTGCGCCAGATTATAAGGGTCGCGGACGAACAGCGCGACCAGATCCTTGGAGCATACCGCCAGGAGCAACTGCAGATGCGCGGTGTTTCGATCAATGATGTTCGTGTGGACCAACTGCGCACTCGCATCGAGGAGTATGACTTGGACCTTAGCAACTTGGTCGAGCAGCAGGATCGGGGTATCCAGCAGGAGGTTGTGGGACGCCAGCGTCGCCTCAACAACAAGGCCTTCACCATTGACATGGACATCACCTCGGATCAGGATCAGGAAGCCATTATTCGCGTCTTCCTTGGCCCCACAGAGGATGAATGGGGCAGGCAGAGAGCTTCCCTAGATGAGCGCCGCCGTGACTTTGTCCTTCTGGATGCCATCCAAGTGCAGCTGGAGAGTGGACGCAACCGCATTCAGCACAGGTCCATCGATATCCCGTGGACCACTCGCGATGTGACGCCTCTGGTGCAGATCTACCGCCAAGTGATGCTGCAGTTGAATGGCCAGCAGGGGCAGCAGGTCCTGGGCATCCAACAGCTGGTCGGCGAGAACGGACGCTTCCCCCAGAACTTGCTGCTGCCCAGTGGAAGGCCCAATGGTCTGCCCATGCAGCTCCTGGTCGTTGTTTCTCCTCTGGCTGAGCTGCAGGTGCAGGACATCGTTCCCGAGGTCACCATTGGCATTGGATCCGCTTCTCTTCAAGATGCCCGCCCATTGGGTTATCCCCTGGACCGTCCCATCCGCAGCGAGCAGGAGCTCCTGCAGTTGACCAATGTCCTTCTTAAGGATGTGGTCATCACTCAGGAGAACTAAGTTCCCAATAGAAAGTTATAAGCAAGAAAATCCGATCGTCCGACCAGCTGCTTTTCCATGGACCCATCCGAATCCCCTATCGAACCCTAGTTTTAATCAATCGATCAATTATTAAATCAATTTAAAATAGCAAGGAGTTAAATACTTGTGTAACACTTCTATATATGTAATAAACGTCTTTGCAAGCAATGCAAACAAGCATTAAACTATTGTTGTCAACTTCCTATACCAAATTTGTAAGAGTTATAAAGTCCTGATCCTTGCCTACACAAATTGCTTGTGAAAACGAACATTTTAGGAAACCACTTGCTATTAATAGCTCCCCTAAAACTCAAATTTCGGTCCTTATTGAAATTGTCACTTTTCTCGATTTTCCCCCAAAATGGTATTATCGTTTTATCCCATCTCGTGCCCAAGTGGCGTTCACCTGACTGGCTTTTCTAATTTCGAAAAACAATTTCAATGCAAATTGCATGTCCATCGGAGAGCGGGGACAGGGGCGGGGGCGGGGCCGGGTGCAGGGGCATTGGAATGGTAGATGGTAGGGATTACAGGCGGCTGCCACGCCCCCAAACAATGCCCGCCCACAGAACAAGCGGATGGCAGGATAGCCAGACAATGCAACGACCAAATGGCTGGCAGGCAACCCATCCTGGCACTATAATAGACTTTTCTTATTCTTGCCACACAACTCAATTTGCAACAACGCCAGGAAAATACACACATACACATATACTCGTACGTATACGAATACATATAACTGAACCATGGCGCAGACGCCCAGCGAAGCGTCAATTGCCAAATTAATTGGCCGTAAAAAATTGAAAATGAAAATATAATCACACTTTCCGTTGTCGAGCTTTCGTTGTCACTGGCTGGCTCAGGTCCAAACGGATCCGGCTTTTAACCCTCTATATGTGCCCACTATAGAAGCGTTTTCCCATCACGTCCGGATATAGAAGCGGGTCCTGGGGATTGGGGATTGGGGGGCAGCTGGGCGGCGGACCAACCAAAGAGTGGCAGACATTTCACCGCAGGCGGTTAAACGTTGCATTTTTCCAGGTTGCCCTGTCCTCACACCTGCGGTGATACCCTGTGGCATCTGACTGCCACAAGGGTAGCATTGAAATCGACTCATCACAAATAAATTTTATGTTAATAAAAGCATCATTGAGGATATATAAAAGACTAAATGATTATAATTAGTTAGATAAATTCTTGAAAAATATTTTTTTATAAAGATGACGGCAACTACAAAATTTCCACATAAGTTTGGCTTCTATCGAAAAATAGAAATAGAAAATAGAAAATAGAAATAGAAAAATAGAAAAATAGAAGTTTATTTCCGTACATACATGCTTAAGTGCTTTTAACATTTCCCCATCAGTTGCTCCAAACTTTTAATTGGAAAAGAGCTGCAACTTAGTCGATCACTGCTCAGTATGCCTCGTTGTTCTACGAATGGCAAAGAATGTGGCACGTTGCATAATGGAAAAATGTTCGCACTCGACCTGATACTGTTTCCCCGCCTTTTACCGCCTCAATGCACTTTCATTATCTTCGAGTGGTTCGCCGTACATTACATTTTATTTTGCTGCCACCGCTGTTGTTGATGCGCCTTTTTTGTACTTTGCATTTTGTATCTTGTAATTTGAAATTTAAAATCTTATTTTCTTTAGTTTGTTGTGTCTGATGAGCTGATTAGGGGCTCCTAAGAGTTCGGGCATTACACGAGCTATTAGGCAGCCGCCTAATGCGAAAGTAATTATGTCTTGTTAATCAGACAGCGGCTGTGTGGGGCCAAAGGGTATTTAACCCGTAAGTTTATCGGCCCAAGCCCTTTTCCTCCCATTACCAAGTCCGAATTGAAGGTAGCTGAAAGGCGCAAACTTTTGTGATTAGCGAGCGCCCCTTGGCAGCGGCGTAGATAGCGTCTTGAGAAAATCCAGAAAGGACACTTTAAAATATATTTAATCGATTTGAAATAAGGAACATTTTTATAATTTATGAAATAGATTTGCCAAGCAATGAGGCAAAAATATTTAGATAACATTGCGGAATACTTACTCATAAAAGCTGATAATAATGGCTGTCTTAGATAGAACTACCAGTTTATGGTACTTAACTTAAGTTACCTTTAGACAGCAAAATCAAAAATCAAAGAACTTTGTTACATGATCTAGTTGTACAAATTACACATTTTCAAAGATCTTGTCTTAAATGCACATTTGATAAAACGCTTCCCACTGGCAGCAAACCATTCTGGTTTTTGGCTAAGTGCTGTTGAGGCGGAAACGCTCGTATAATTTATGTTCTGCCTTGGCGCTCTGGCAACGGAAATGCCGGCGCGTAGTTTTGCCACGCCTACAAACTCATCCCGAGATGTTTGCCAAAATTTCATAGCATACTATTCAGCGGGAAAAGTTTGTGGCACGCAAATTAGCGGCCACGTTTGTTTCGCCGCGGGAAGTGGCACGGGGCATGTTGCGAAACTTTTTCAGTTATGAATATAAAGTTTATTTATTAAGCAAACAAGTTGGCGGTCTTATCTGTGCCGTGTTCTCTGATGGTCCTTTCTCTGTCAGTTCTTTTTGTGGTTGCCAAACAATTTCGCAGTTAGTTGAGCTCTCTAGTGCAAAAGGGCAAAGGGGCCTCGAACAAACTGCACGAAATTCGCTTGAGTTGCCAGTGGAATTAACTGAAAGAGCCATTTTTGGTAGTTGCGAAGAATGAAAAATAAAGCGTTTTGTGCGATTTACTGATTTTCAAAGAAAAAGATACTTCTAAAAGTTTAAGAAAAAGTAAAAGATGTACTTCATGAAATATTATAAATATAATTATTATTTTATTTCAAATAAGCTAGACACCAGCTTAAGCTTAATCAAATGGACACAAGTGAAAAATCGCAGATTAAAACAAGATAGAGTGCTAGAGTCGAGTTCCCCGACTATCAGATACCCGTTACTAGTGAAAGTGCAAACGAGAAATTTCAACATTTTCTGGAATATCGCTAGAAATTGTGTAAAAAATTTACTCTACGAGTGGCGGGTATAAAGACATCAGTCCCAATCCTTTGTTGCATATACAAAATATTTATAAACTGCCCGATGTCGGATGTGGGCCAAATGAGATCTAGGCAGTTTTCCTTGGCCACCTTTTCTGGGTGGACGTGTGGAAAATATTGGACGGAAAGGAGGCGTGAGCTGTTTCCAAATCAACTTGGACCAAAACCCTTCGTTCCCACTCCAAAATCGAGGCATTGAAAAATGTACAATAAACATTTTTACACGCTGCCGCTGGTTGGGAGGATATCAAGTTGAGCAGAAAACTTTTCGCCATTCATGCAGATGTACACGACAAAAAATTGCTAACAAACGGAAATGTGATATACGCGCGACAACCAAAACACACACAAAGGCTAATGGAGCAGGGCGTGGAAGGGGGCGTGGTGGTATCAGTGGCGTAGATGGGGGTCAATGGAGCTTAGTTATCATGTGATATTATTTTCGAAATATATATTTACTATTATACTATTTGTCATTCCATCATTACTCGTTTACTGTCGTGGAACAATCAAGCAGAGTCTAAAGTTCATATGTAAACTCTTTCCACATGCAATTCCTTTAAGCATTCCCCTTTCAGGAAACTCTGCCTACGCCACTGGGAAGGATAGCCATGCCAATTGCTTCTGAAAAATGTATTCTGAATATAAACGTCTATTCTGTATAGGTGAGATCTATAGCTACGTGGCAATCGTCTTGTATTCTTCTCGCTCTCACTGGTCTATTCAATTTGGTTGTGAATTAAAATGATGGAGGAAAAAAACGGGGGACCGTCGAAAAGAAAATACCGTCATGCGTTGCATTGTCAAAAGGATTTTTTCTCTTCTTCGGCTTTTGTATGATTGAAAGACACCCACCTCAACATTTTGAGGCCCCTGCTCGCCCACTATATTCCATCTTAACTGACACGCTTTGGCGCATTGGCTGATAAACGCCGAAGGGAAAGGACTTCTTACTGGAGGCTTTCCTTCAAGTGGGATTAAAAAAATGTTTACACAGAAGCGCACGGGACATTTTAATACCCACCAGAATCTAGGGTAGCAAGGGTGTTAAAGCATCTTCCAGGACAAGACACATTTAACAGAATTCATACCCCTTTTATCAAATTATTTAGAAAGACAGAAAAGAAAGAAAATTCTTAAAAGACTGGGAATGACCCCGAAAGTGCATAATGCAGGTTTTAAATGTTTTCTTAGATATCTTTAAAATATATTTTGCTTATTTTCACAGTAGCCAATGTTCGAGTCTCAACAATCGATTCCATCCTAGCATAACAGGAAGATCCGGTTCCTGTGAGATGGTGGAGAGATTACGAGAACCGGAAGGGATACGGGCACAGGTATGGAACATGATTTGGGGAGAGCCATGTATATTCCCACTTTGACGTGACATGTTCCAATGACAAACTAATAGTTAACGCAAAATATTTCCAATTACTGTTGCTGTTGCTGTCACAGCAAAATCAATCAATTTGCAGCCACAGACACGAAAGCCATTTAATTTCTATTCCCGCACTTTTCCATTTTCCTTATCGGTTGGATATATTTTAAACGCAAATTGATTTTGTGGCCACAGATTGCAGCGGTAAATGCATTTCACCCAGCATTTCTATAAAATTGTTACTTTTTATACTTACGTGTACTTTTTTGCCCTGCCCAGCCCAGCTCAGTGTGATTTGGCCAACTAATGAGGTGTGAAAATGTGGGAAAACCACTTTTGCTGCGTTCGCCATGTACGCTGCAATTAGAATGAATTTATGGTGGACTTTACGAGACGGTAGGGGTAAAGGGATGCGGCAAAGTATGCTATAAAAATGGGATTTGCCTCGAACTGGTTGCGGCTTATTTGCTATTCACACCACAACAATGTAAACAATGCCCGGCCCGAGGACACCCCCATACCGGCCAATCCGCTCTGCCTTATCCCCTATATCTCACCACCCCAGTTCAGTTTTGCTGGAACCCAGAGGCGACAGTGAAAAGCAATAAAGCGCTCTGGCCAGAGACACAGAAATACTCACAATGCTGAAGCAAATTTGTTGCAAATCAAAACAAATTCCAAGCCGTCGACACGCACACAAAAAAGCCACTATTCTGTTCCTTTCTTCTATATACGAAGATTGCATACTCTTTCCCGCACTTGCTCAGTAATGAGGAATAGTAAAGATAATAAACAAAGATGGTTAATAATTATTTTGAACTATGACCATGCTCAGCAGGCACTCTTGTATTTAATAAGTAATGGTGAGCCTAATCCAATATACAATGAATATTTAATCAATCTTTAATAGTTTGTTAAGAAATAGGTTACTGCACAATTTCATATATATAAATGTGGATTTCCCAGTCCATTGTTTAAGTAATACACTACCACCACAAAGTGGTGTGGCTAAAAAGCCTTCCACTCCAACCACATTCACCCATCTACGCACTCACCCTTTGCGAAAGGACTTGTCCATCAACTTGATGAAATTCCACAACAATTTATGCAATCAGTTGGACACAACACAAAAAAGGAAAAGAAATAATACAAATATGACGGTTGACAGAAAGGAAAACCATTTCATGCTGCAATGCAGGACCAGAATCCCTCCTCCACCGAAAACCGGCTACCGAGTACAATCCCTCTTAAGCCTTTTTGAATATTTTTGACACGTGCGCTGCAATTATTTTATTACCCAAGCCGCCCTTGGCCGCCCACTCTATTTGGCCGTGTGCAGTGTGCCACGCCCACTCGATTGCAAACCGAGCAACAAGAAGGGCGGCGGTTAAAAAAAAATGTTCGTATTGAGGGAAGGCCAACAATGGACCGGCAATTGATGCAATTCATTGAAAATTTTGATGGCAACTGTTTAGACTAAAATTGCATTAAGTCACCAAAGGCTTTTGTTGGCGGGAAGTGGAACTGAATGGTAACCCAAACAATTGCCAATCATTTTCGCAGTCGCGCAATTGCATTCACGAATTTCACGAACGTGCCTATCTAAACGAAAAATAAAGAATACAAATCAACCAAAATGTTGTTTTAAATACGCGTCTACTCCGCGCTTAAATAATCTATGGAAATTACGGTCGATGTACATATATGCACATACACTTACTCGTACATATATACATTAATAATGATGCCATTTGTTTGGCCATAGAATTTTTGTTGTCGCTGTTTGTGTGTTGGCAATAAAATTTGGCTTTGCCACATAATTCAAATTGTTAATCGCGTTTAATGGCGGGCATTTATCAATATTTTCTTCATGTTGCTGAATGCAAATTTTTTGTCCTCCTGCGGAGCCATAGAATGGGAAAGAAATAATCGGGGAAAGAGAAGGGGAGAGAGCTCAGGACCTCCTAAAGCCACCCCAAAAATGGGGACTATCAGTCCAATTCAAATGGCTCCTTCGTTTTGGGGTCTTAATGTGGAGTTGACAAAGCCAAAACAAAAATGGCGGCTAATATGGCCACAAGTTGATATGTGGGGAAACCTTTTTATAGGGGGTTACTTTGGATATGGTAGATAAAAGATTTGAATTATTTGATAGTGCTGTGGGTATATTTCTTCATTAGCTAGATATATTCAGGGTAGAAATGGTCAGAAATGTATTAATATGTCACTCATATGAGTAATTATATTGATAGGAATTAATATATTTTCCCATTAAAGAGAGATGATTGCATTTAAAGTTTAAATTAAATCAAATTCGAAAATATTGATTTCTGGTGTAAAAAGAATATTTTCCCATCTATATATGACAACGCCATATTCTTGCCAAGTACATCCCCACTTAGAATGGGGCGGAAATAAAGCGCAGCGGTCATAGCTGCATCTGATTTGGGGATGTCCCTCACTTCTTTCCATATATATGTATGTACGTAAACCGCCCTTAGCTGTTAGGTCTGTCCTCCCTTGGCCAAAGCCCCCATCCCCAACATGCTTTTAATGCGCACCATTGTGTCAAGATAAAGGAACGGAAATTAGCACGATAGCAGGAAGTTGCCATCGTCGTTGACGTTGTTCTTGTGCTCCACCTCGACCGCTCCACAAAACGCCAAGGAATGGAGGCCAAGACGGTGGCGATAATATAAAAAAAGGGGCAGCGGACACAACAGAATGGGGGCGTGAACATCCACTGGAATCGGAATTGGAGTCAAAGTCGGACAGCCACAAATAATAAAGCAAACGGAAATGAAATACAATACCCGAGGAATCCCAGAAGAATGGAAATGGTCAACATGGAGATGCCTATCGTGGTTTCATGGAAATGCCTTTAAGCTTGACTTTCACTTTTGGGGCAGGAGAACCTTAAAAAGTGACAAAGTGGTTACTTAAAAAAATTCTTAAATAATTACTTGCTATACAACTGACTATTTTTCTAATATATGTACTTGAAATATAGTTTAGGAAAGAAATATTTATTATATAGATATATAATAGATATAGATAGGTGATAAAAATAAATGCATTCCTCTGGAAGAGAAAATAATAATTAGTGTTAGCATGTGGAATTTAGGAACTACAAATAAGACTAAAAATATTTTTAATACACTTTAATACCCTCCCTTGTGGGGTCAGCAAAGTTTCAGAAGCATTCAGCTAAGCCTTATCCCCAAACCCAATTTAGTGCCGACAATTGAAAAATTAATAAGACCCAAAGTGTGGAACAACTTTTCGTTTTTTTTTAATTGCGGGGATTTTGGAAAGAGGATTTCATTTTATTTTTTCTTATCAACCACAGGCAAATTAGGCGCTAACAGAATGAGAAGAAAGGCCAAGAAGAGAGAATGCTGATTGTCGTCTATTCAGATAATGTTTTTTTCGTTTATTATATTTTCGGAGCTATGGATAGGAAAAAAGTCTCGCACTCACACACAAAGTCAATTAGGCAAAACGTTGCTGGCAACAAAGTGAAAACAATTCGCATTTAAATTTGCGCATTCTTAGAAACTTTGCCGCGAAATGTGGGGTTTGGTTGGGTTGGCTTGGGTTGGCTTGGGTTGGGTGGGGTGATTTGGTGGGCGGTGTGCTTTGTTGGGCGGGGCTGTGTGTAAGTTGGCGTAAAATACGTGCATATTACTGCGCTTATCTAGGAACAAACACGCCCAGGACTCCATTTCCCGGCCTGGACCCACAGATGACGATGACGACTTCTCCTTGATGACGATTCCTGTCTCTCTTTTCTCTGCTTTTTGTTAGGGGAATTGAATGGGATTGTTGGTGGTCGTATTGTGTGCATTTGTTTTTATGCGAATGTGCCAGTGACAAACCAGCCACATCCACATCCACTTCCACATCCACATCCTCCACCACTTCAAACACTTTGCACCCGCCTAAGCAACACATCCTTCCTTAAACGTTTCTTGCCTGCCAAATGTTGCCATTGCATACACATAAAAAAACCAATTGTGCGAACACATAAATGATTTTCTTAGGACTTTAATTAAAATCGATATATCTCTCTAAAATTAGATTTAAAGTTAAGTTAAATCGTTATTTATCGTTTATATTTAGAGATTCGAGGTCTTGGAATGTATTACATTTAACTAAAACGAGTTTGTCTTACATGGACCTTTTCTTTCCAGTGTATTTGAGATTGTATGGCTCTGAATTTTGCTAGGTTTGCGTGTGGTTTTATGTATGCATTGTATTGGCCTGGCATAATAGACACATTTAATTTTACTATTATGCCTTTTTGTTGTCATGGCATTCGTATAATAAACCGTTTCCCTTCGTTTTCAAGTTTCTGTTTTGAGGCGGCAGGATTCCCATTCCTTTTTGTATGCCATTTTGTCAGTCATTTATATGATTTTTCACAGAAAGGATACTAAAAATCTGTGTGCTTGTGCGTGTCAAGAAAATTATCTGTGAGCAAGTGGGAAAGTTAAATATACAAGTGTATTATCTTTCAATGAAGTAATCGAACTTCCATTAAATGCAATTCAATGTAAAATACATGTAGATAAAAATTTATTTGATTAACTTTATCAGTATATCAATATTAAAATTGTATCTAAAAGTAAAATGTAAATTCCTTGAAACGTGTGTGCTAATCGGTCGAAGGTAATTTGAAATTGACACGCCGACTGTTTTAATTCCAATTGTGTGCGTGCTTTGAAAACCATATTGATATGGAACCCACTCCGTGTGTTTCAACTAGCGAGCATTCAATTAAGAAGTTTAGGCACTTAGCATACATTATCGCATAATAGTTTTAGGCCTGGCTGTGAAAGATTATCACATCCTTCAGGGTTTTGGCCAGGACCGGGACAGACACCCCATCGAACTCCGACTCCAAGCCACTCCATTCTGTAAGTTCCACGAGTAATTGCACTTTGAGACCGTCTACAGTGCCCCTCGGTAGTAGAAGATGTGACGGAAATCGTTTGGAACTGGTCACATCTGTTGATGGGTAACCGGCATCATAGAGTTCACCTAGAGTGTGTTTGCGAATGGCTGTTGGGAAAAGACGTTCGAATTGATTTAAGCCCCTTTTTAGGGAACACTTAAAGCTGTCCAGGTGTAAACGCGGTCTCAATTGACCTGGTAGAGTTACATAGATCCTCGCCTCAACGACCAGGTCCTCTGGAGCAACTATATCCAGGCGAATACTGAAGGCTTCATGATTAAGACGACGTTGTCCAGCGACAAGATGACGGCGCAGAAATTGTAGATTATTGCGCTGTGATAGAAGCAGTTGCTGGTCAATTAGATTGATGAGATCCGTGGTCACGTATTCCTCAAACGTCACCAGGCGACTAACTTGTATATCAACTACTTTTGGGTGTTCCCTGCCTCCTGCATCTGGAAATATAACCGCATTTTCATAGCTCTTCAACAGTTCATTTATCCGTAATAAGAGTGAGCGGTAGATGGGATCTCTCAGATTGGAGGTAGCCGAGCCTAACATAGTTGGTTGATGTCCATGTCCATTGACAGCCAGGCTTAATTGGCGGCATATATGAAGGTAGTTATTACCTATTATTCCACCCGCTATGGATAAATCAACCATAGAATCGTTATTATGTTTTACAGCCACTTCAATTTGAGCCTTTAAGTCGTCCATTGTCAGGTCTAAGATGCTTTTCACAGCTTCGATATTCAAGGATGTGCCTTTGTAGGGCACACCACCGGTTGTCATCAGCGGCGGATCGATAATATCCATAGATCTTTGACCTGTTGCCAAATCTTCCATAGTCAAAGCAGCCACGAACTGATGCAGATTGTACACATATAATTTCGAGTTATAAAAACGGGATCCAAATGCCATCTGATTTATAAAGTTGACTTCATCGAAGGATCCTCGAAATGCTACCAAGCGATCGCCATCTACAATAAGAGGTTCATTAATCCTTTCCTTCCCTTCCTCAATGGAAATAATCAGTCGATTTATAAGACTGTTCCAGTGTGAGTTAAGTTCCAAGTCTAGGCTCAGATAAGCCACTTTTCGTTCATTATCAATGATCAGCGGATCGGTTGGAATAGGTTCTGTTTCAGTCCAAGATTGCTTGGGCTTTCGATACGCCAAAAGGATATCCATCCACCTTCGTTTCGATGTCACCAACCTAATGGGGGTCAATTGGTCCCAGGTGACTTCCTGCGCCGCCAGGATCACCTCCTTTTCGAAATAGAGCTGTGGCAGCACCTCATACATGGCTGGCATCCGAAGTTCCTTTGTGTCCTCCCTTTCCTCCACTGCCAACTGCAGGGCGTTTACAAAGAGCAGAGGATGAAAGTGTATCCTGGCATAGCATGCATTTCGCTGGAAGGAAGACCAATCCAAAGCCATGGTCAAAAAACGATAGATTCCCAACAAATTCTGGGGCATTTCTTCATCGAGCTGATTAAAAATGGCAAAAGGACCTGGCATTCGATTCTGATGCACGCGCTCTTGAAAGTCTTTTATGAATCTCCAGGTGCCCTGTAAAAGAAAATTATTAGTGTATGCTTGTTGTATTGTATTGTATTGTATTATTGCCACAAACACATAATATAAACACATTTTCACACAACTCACTTCCCTATAGCTGTTTGGATCGTCGTTAAGTTGGCTCCCCATTGTTATGAGTTCCTCATGAAGCAAGGGTTTGTGGACTTGAATGAGCAAATTCAGGAGGAAATACTGGCGATCTTGCCTCTGATTATAATCCACTTCTACATTTGATCTGAAATGCTGCCCAAAAGGGGTCAACTTCCAAGGATTGCCAAAACTTTCTGTTCCATCTTTAAGAACGAACAAACAAAGACACACAAACGTTAATCTTAACATTTTGACGCAGACTGATCAGTGACATGAACTGACTTCTGCGTATATTTGTAAATGCAATTGCCTTGTTTTTATACCCTTACAGAGGGTTTATTGATTTCCAAAAGTGTTTAAAGTTTGTTGATCAGTATCAACAACCAAGTCGATATATACTTGCCTGTCTGTCCGGCTATCCGTCCGTTTTCAAGCAAACTTGTCCAACCTTTCAAATCTATTTGCATAAATACAAATGGGAAAAAAATGTACCTTCGTTATTTATTAATAATTGAAAATATTAGAAAAGATATTACAGTTTCGTAGTTTTTGAAAATATATTCGGAACACACCATCTTTTTTAAACTTATAATTCCTGCAAGGGTATATAAGCTTCGGCTTGCCGAATCTTCCTTCCTTTCTTTTCTTGTTTTCAGTCAAGACACACTGAACTTGGTTATCTCTGCGGTTGATTGTGAACAAAGCTTGGGAGAAAGTGAGGTTTTAAATTATTCGTTGTGTTCCAAAGCCTATTTTTAGTCAGACGTATTATTAAATATAAATAATCATCAAATTTCAAGGGCTTTAAATCGCATTGTCCCGCCATATCACGCCATGTCCCGCCGGAGATCCTGCCATGTCCCATGTAAATCTGATACCCATACTTTTAAAATATGTTTTGATTTGTGTTGATTTCATTTTGGTTTTTTCAGGTTAGTTTCCTAACCTATAACAGGTTCCGTAAAACAAATTCGTTTTTATTGGCTCAACAAGAAACATTATGAAATAAATGAAGCCCCAAGACCCAGAACAAAACATTGCTGCTATACAAAGATACATATGAACTGTGTAAAAATACAGAATTCTATTGCTAAGTGCTAGTTAAGTCTTTGTTCTTAAGCCAAAATCGTGTGCTTCTTGTAGCATTGGATATCTGAAATCGGATTTATTATTTATTAAATACGTCAATTAAAGCAATGCCACTTTCGTGGTATTTGGAATAACTTGGTCTGATGTTTCTGCTTCTGCGATCCTTTCTTTGGCACTGTCTGGGATGATATGATGGTTGGCGATGCTTCGATGGGATCTGATTGACTCGTTGGAATTATTTTAGGTCTCCTAATACTACGGACTAATTAAACTTATAGGTGTACTGATATCTAAGCGGGGAGGTTTCCCGGAATGTGTCGGTGTCGGAGCCATCATCCTCATCCCCCGATGAGGGCGGCGTCTCCAGCATGGGCATTGAGAGGTCCAGATAGGCATCGTTTGGATTGCTACTAGCCTGCTGCAGGATCCCGTCGAAACTCTCCACCAGCTCCGCGAACGTGGGTCGTGCACAGGACTCAAAGTGCCAGCACTGCCGCATTACCACGTAGATGTTCAGGGAGCACTTGGCCGGCTTCTCCATGCGCTGACCCGTAATCAGGTAGCTGTAGAGCTCCTCGGCGGACAGTATGTGCGGGTATGGCTGATCCCCGTAGGTCATGATCTCCCACAGCAGAACACCATAGCTCCAGACGTCGCTCTGTGAGTCGTACTTCTTCTCCTGTAGCGACTCCGGCGCCATCCACTTAATGGGCAACCGTCCGTTGGTGTTTTTCCGGTAGTACTCCGTATCTTGGATATCCCTCGCCAGTCCAAAGTCGGCGATCTTCATAACGTATCCATCGCTTACAAGAACGTTACGGGCAGCCAGATCGCGATGAATACACTGGAAGAGTAAGGTATAATAAGAATTTGAACATGTGGGAGCCAATCAGTCTTAGATGGACATACCCGTCTTGAAGCGAGGTACTCCATTCCTCGAGCGATTTGGAATGCGAACTTGGTGAGCTCCTTTTCGCCAAGTTGTTGTGTTGAAATCAGTGGCTTATCATCGAGATAGCCATCGCTGTCACTCCGTCGCTGTGGAGCACCCGGTCGATTCAGCTTGAGGAAATCCTTGAGGTTTCCATGTGGAGCATACTCCACGATCACCCACAGAGGACCTCCCTGGCTGCAGCAGCCCAGCAGATTGATGATGTTAATGTGCTTGCCAATCATTTTCATCACCTCCATTTCACGCACCAAGCTGGCCATGTCCGTATCCGTGTGCTCCTCCTTGACCATCTTGACGGCCACGATGGTTTCGCCCAACTGTGGGTTCCTTGGTAGACCATCCGCCTCCGCCATCACTACGCGTCCAAAGGCACCCTCGCCCAGGATGGAGCCCAAATTAAGCTGCTGCCTGGGAATCTCCCAGTTAGAGTCTAGCGGAAACTCATACTCATTGAAGCCCTGGGCGGCATCAGTACCGCATGTGCCCGTTGTGGAAACGGTTGTTCTCTGCTTCTCGATCCTAATCACTGGCATCTGAAGATCGCCGGAGTTGCAGCCACTGCCTTCTTCTCCGCCCGGTCGGTAAATGATCACTTTTTTAGTCCACTGATGAACCGTTTCGATGCGGAGCTTCAGGAGCTTCTCCCTCCTCAGCCGGCGCAGCATGAACGTTATGAAAGCACTGCCCAAAAGGAACAAAGTCACTATAGTAAAAACCGCCAAGGTGAACCCAAGCGGATGGGCGTGCAGCAGGGCATAGATCTCCAAAGGTGGCAGACTCACCACCCTTAGGTACACACTGGAGTTGCTTCTTCCCAGGCCACTTGAGGCCAAGCAGGTGTACCAGCCCTCCTGGTCAAAGGTAACATTTCGCAGTGTTAAAACCACTGAGTCGTTCGTAACGGTGAAGTTGAGATTCTGGATCTCCACAGACTGAAGACCGTCCAGCGAGGCATTCTTGAGGACAACCCTTTTCCAGCTGACCGTAGGATGCAAGTCAGAGTACACGGTGCACTTCATCACCACGCTGCCATTGACTTTCACCGTCTGATTTTGCGGCACCACAATTATTGGTGCGGATCTTGTGCGATCGTTTATTTGGACGCTAAAGTCAAATTGGATGCAGCCCCACTCGTTGCACACCGCACAGTTGTATATTCCCGAATCCTCGCTGGTGGCCTCCACGAAACGGAGCGTCCAGTTCCTGTACACATAGACGCCGAGTTTACGTCTTAGCGGCTTCTTGTCCTTCGTCCAGGTGATGTTCGCTTTTCCATACACTGGGCAGGCTAGAGTGACGGTATTTCCCGATAATGAGTGCTGCAATCGCTTCAACTCTTTTTTGAACACTGGTGGACCCATGCCGCCTGATGAGTCCGGTCCTGGATTTTCCACGTCCTCATCGGTGTCCTCTCCTGTGGCTGCAGTGGGCACTGGGCTGGCCACTGTGGTGGTAGTGGTCATGCGAATCGTGGTAGTGTCTAATGGACTGTACAGATCCAGATAGGCGGCGGCCACAGTGCGTCCGACTTGGTTCTCGGCTATGCATATGTACCATCCTCCATCCTCCATTAGGACATTGCCCAGACGAAGTACCTGTGGCTCATCCATGCGGGTAATCAATCTGGTAACGTCCACCGGTAGTTGGGGCTGCTCTCTTAACCGCTGCAAGAGATCATCGATGTTGTCCACACTTCCCTTGTGCAGCCACGTGATCTTCGGCTCCAGGGCAGAGTCCTCCAGGAGGCACTCAATGCTCACATTGTCCTCAAGGGCAATGCTGGCATTTCGGGGATACCCTGGCTTTAGCATGGGCACTGTGTGACTTCTGCTAATTACCTCCAGTTGGGTTGGAGTACTCCTTTGGCAGTTCTGTTCCACGCACAGCTTACAGTGATAGCTTCCAGCATCCTCCGGCTGCAGTTGCCCCACTGTCAGTGACCACCTTTTCAGCTTAATCCGGCCCCGACCACCAAGGATTTGAGTATCATTGTGCAGCCAGGATATATCAACACCCTTTGCTTCCGGATCCGTGGGACTGCAGCTCAACTGGAAGAGACCACCTGCGGTTCGTTGGACGGTTTTGGGTAGTGGTTGCAGCAACTTTAGGGAGCGAGTATCATTCAAGGGCTGGAAAAAGAGATCTGACTCCGGGATTGGCCGCGCATCTTGCAACTTGACAAAGCTGGCGATGTCATTGCCAACTGGTTCCTTATGGCCCACAACCAGGGAAATATTGTACCATCTGTTCTGACTATCCAGGCAGCCGTAGTTCCCGGAATTTCCGGACTGTGCTCGTTCAAGCCGCAAGAGGGAATTCCTCAGTTGAAACTTATCTTCATAGAACCATTTGGCCATGGGTCGGATGCACTGCAGCGTGATGTCCATGTCGGAGAGGAGGTGCCGCTGGCGGGGACTGTTTTCCACAGTGACATCGATGTAGCAACGATGATGGCCATAATCGCATCCCAGGTCCGAAGAGGCAGAGGCGATCGCAATGATCATCACCAGCGTGATCGGCACTTTTGCCATGGCTCAAGTGGATTCTCTTGAGTTCAACAGCCACCAAGATCTCGTATCTAGATGGGCACGATCGTGTACATATGGATTACAGTTGCGGTCGAAATAATATCACTTCCTGTGGGTATCTTCATTCGAATTCCTCGATTTCAAATCGAGCGTTCTCCAGCTAAAGGAATACAGGAATAAAGATTTAGAAACCGTGGCGTTGATTAATAAATTATGCTTAAAAAATTAATCTACTAAAAAATGTTGTTTAATTAATCTAACTTTAATACTTGTACATATGTATATCTTAGTTTATCATTTAAATAGATTTTAGTGATGAATATCTGTTCCACTATTGCTTTGACCGCAGCTGTTTAAGTGGATCAATAAATATTGCCAAATCTCCGCTTCACTTTTTGCCTCTCCCTTGATTCCCGCTCTGTGTCATTTTATTTATTTATTATTATTGTTTAATATTTTATTGCCAACACGGCACGCAGCCAAGTCAAGTCAGTCCGCACCAATATGCAAAAATCCAAAGGAGAAGCAGCTGAAAAAAACGAAGACTGTGTGCCCTGCCTCCGTAATGAGCTCGAAGACGTGGTCGAAGCCACCGAATTGCCGGACACACTCGTCGCCACCCACTACCAAAGGGGATCTCCATTATAACTTGTCTATATTCGATGTTAGCCAAATGGTTTTGTTGGTGCGGCCTGCGCTTCTCGATTTCCATTCAACAAAATGCCGAACAGTTATAAAATCACTAGCTATTTGCTGAAATCAGTTGCTACAGTGGTAAGACTCTATTCAGTTATTCCCAAGTACTTGACTTACAAAGCAAACTGACAAGGTGCTGGAGAATTGCAACAGCAAATAGAGAAATACCTAAATGATTCGCCACAAACTGAAAAAGCAACTAATTAAGCATTTTGCTCAATTCAAAAGTGCGTTTATATGAAAGTTTTGTTTTAAGCACTGACTCTGACTGCTCAAAAATCTCGAAAGCTGACTCAACCATTATTTGAAAAATAAATATCACAAAGAATGGGAAATGAATAGCAGTATTTCGTATAAATATAAATTATACATTCTTTGTCAGTCATTAATTATGATGTTGTAGGGTAAATCCCCAGAATTGTTGAGTGCCTTGACGTACTTATCGAAATCAAAATATGAAACCAAGTTTAGCGTACAATGCATATATGTATATCTTTGTTTAGTATGATTATACAAATAATGAGCTATTCTAATATCAATAGTAATCACTTAAGACCCAAGAATCGTTTTGACCACTGTGCCGTTTAATGAAATGTAGTTTATTGTTTGTAAGGCTGGGACAACCGTTGCGATTGTCATTGTTGTTGTTAATATGGTGCTAGTGCTGCCAGTAATTGCTGTTGTTGTTATTGTTTTAGCCGATATTGCCGCTAGCCGTTTGACTTCAGGCCCGATTTATGTATGTATGCACACGCGTCGCAGGTTTTAATTTATTCAATTCCTTTTTTTCTCATTTGTTGCCAAATACGACTCGATCGCTGTATTTGAAGTATGTATTATTGCTTTTCTTATTTTATTTTTCTTCTCAGTTCGTAATTTATTCAATATTTTTCAATTTCAAGCCAGCGCGCACATGGCCAAAACCGTTTTGCTCACACCTTTTTATCTTGTGAATTATTCTCGAGCGCATTAATCTAATGCATGACCGATTTGATATTTCAACTTGGTCAATCGGCTATTCTCGAGATCTTTATTTGGAACCCTGGATATTAGTTCCATATTCATTTTCTTTTTGCGAACATTTATTAAAGGTAAAAGGAATGTTTGGATCACTAGATAAATTGCATCACTTCAATTTTATTTCTTTATTTAATTCATGGACTTTTATTTAGTTATCAACTTATATGGTGTATCAGTTGTATATTGTTTCTTTGTCTCACTTAAAATCTTATTCTCAACATTTGGTGTCTTGCAGACTTTTTGTTTTTATTTATCTGCACTTGACAGGATTGGTATTTATTTTACTGCTGAAACAATTCACTCCTAAATTATTTGTTGCTTTTTTCGCTTTACTGCCGCTTGTCAGTCCCAGTGGGAACACAATTCTTTTCTGCCATGCCACAACCCCAAATTTTTGACCAAAAATCACGTTCTTTGTCTCTTATTTTCGAGGAGCTGGGGAGGGCAAATGAGATCGCAAAAAACATTGTCACTATGTTTATTCGGCTGTCAATCGCCGTTGGGGCCTGGATACAAATCTTAAGACTCGTTTAGGGGCCAGAGGAAGGCGCCTTGCATTTCCGCTTCGTTGCCAACATTTATTTCCATTTACCAGGCAAAGATGAGAAAAAATAATATGGAGGGTGGGGGACCACTTCCGTTGCACTAACCGTAATCCGTAAAGTTTGTGGAAGGAATCGAGCGGAGCCAACCGATTGGCTTGAATGTGCGCAAACAACTGAAAGTAACGATCGAAACGGAAGAAACTTTTACGAGGTACGATCCGAACGTGACCGATCGAACCGAGCTGAGCCGATCCGATCCGAAACGAGTGGGTATCGTATCTGCGGTACCCTGTGATAATGTTTGCTAGGATCCTTCAGATGGGTTCGGATCGGATCGGATCGTATGGGCTATGGCTACCTGATCGAGGTGGTCTCCCTCCCGCATGTTGCAATTGTTTTCGCTGGTACTTTTCCTGAGCGGTTTCCTTTCTTTTTTATTGTTGCTGTTGCTGCTGCTGCTGCTGGGTTCTTGTTGGTTTTATTCTAAGCATGTTTGCGGTGGCTTCGACTCGTCGAAATTCTTTATTATCTGGCCTTCGGGTTCCCTCTGTTTGTTTGCTTGGCGGCTTAATTTATGCAAAAGAAAAATGTGTCCATTGTCTTAGTGGTGTGCAGTACGTGCGCATGCGCGGTAATCGCATATCAATAAGGAAATATCCGTTACGTGACTGATATCCAAAAAATCTCTGTTGCTGCAGCTATTGCTGCTGCTGCTCCCGCATAGGCCAAAATCCTGATCCAGATGCCGGGCACGTAATCTACCCAAAAATAGTTAAATGCGTTTTCGATGCACTTGTTGGGGCTATGGGAAGAAATGCGAAACAGTTGGGAATTACGGTAAGGATGGACCTACTGTACAAACTAGCTACCAAGAACTTGGCTTAGCTAAAGACGATTTCCGGTGAATTAATAACCAACTCACCTGACGTCTTCATTTGGTCGGTGCCTCCTTAACAGCGCTCATGTTTACCGAGGTCAGCATGCGCAAGATATTGGTTCTTAGATTTGAACATCTCTTTCTGCTCTTCGTATACAATGTAATTGAAATATAACGTTTACAAACTAATCATGAAAACAAATTCGTCTTTTTTATTTCCCAACAAAAAGATTAATGAAATATGTACTACCTAAGGCTTGTGTATTCCAACAACATATTGCGCCAATGTACAAATATGCGAAATAAAATTTAAAATAATAATGCTAAGCTTATAAGTCTTTGTCTTTAAGCCAAGGTCGCACGCTTGGCTACAAACTCCCTCGAAGTCTTCTCCTTGTTCGTAAACCGAGCATACCTACAAATGAATATTCAAAAAGGTAACAAAAAGAAAAGCAAAGACAAGTCACTTACGTTTTGTGATATTTGGCCACATCGGAGGCGCTGAGCGAAGGACGAGTGGTTTGGAACGACTCAACAAGGTGCTTCTGCTTCAGCGAGATTTTCTTTGGCAGTTTCTGGGAAAGCAATAAGAAATCAATGTTATTTTGTAACGTCGCCAGAGAATAAGAACTACGTGACCAATCCGTGTTGCCGGAAATAGCATTGATTTCAATTTGATTTAAAGGACAAACACGTAAACGAATCAAAAGTATTTGAATTTTAAATTTATGTTACATTTGTAACCAGGATGATGATATTAAAAACCAGATAGAAACATAGCCCATAAAATAGATCGTTTCCGGTGAAAAGAATTTCCCAGCTCACCTCATGTCCGAATTGAGCTAGCGCCTCCTTAACCGCCGCCATGTTCGCCGAGGTCAGAATACTCTGGATATCGGCGCCAGTGTAATTTGCAGTTTTTCCCGCAAACCACTCAAAGTCCACGCACTCATCAAGGTTGAGGGTGGAACTAAGTGCGTCAAATATACGTACTCTGGCCTGAGCATCCGGCAAAGGACACTCCACCAAGCGATCAATGCGACCGGATCGAAGGAGCGCGGGATCCAGCAGCTCCGGCCTAGATGTAGCTGCTATCACGGTAACTCCCTGCAGTCCTTCCACGCCATCCAGTTCCGTGAGCAACTGATTTACCACTCGATCTGTGACCCCCGTGGAATCGTGTCCACGTTTCGGCGCCAAGCTGTCGAACTCGTCGAAGAAAAGCACACATGGTCGGGCACTGCGTGCTCGATTGAACAGGTTTCGAACATTTTCCTCGCTTTGGCCAATGTATTTGGCGAGCAACTCAGGACCCTTGACAGAAATGATGCGCAGGTTCCACGATGTGGCCAACTGAGCGACCAGGTAGGTTTTACCTGTTCCTGGTGGCCCATATAGGAGTACTCCGGCCTGATTGCGCAGTGGAGAGGCGTTAAAAATGGTGGGATACTGTAAGAAATGCACAATGATATAATATATTATAGTAAACACATATATTTCGTTTAGAGCTCACCCTTGATGGCCACATAAGGACCTCCTCTAGAACTCCCACAACTGACTCCAGGCCAGGCAACTCCTCAACGCGCATTTCATTGGCTTCCGCATCGTTGCCAGTCCTTTGATTGCTCTGAATGCCCTGCAGGCAGTACGAGTTCGTGTGCTCCAAGGACTCAATAAGCTGATCATTGGTTAAAACAGGCTGGGTCTTGCCTGGAAATAAGAGAATTAAACATGAAAACATACAGTTGCATATTTATGATACAAACTACTCACTTATGCGATAAGCATAAAATATTGCACGCTCCACAAACTGCACAAGATCACATTTCCGGTAGCCCTCTGTGAGGTTGGAGAACTTAACAAGATCCAGGTCCTTGGACACATTGATATGACTGCACAGCTCTCGAAGGATAATCTCCCGATCCGCTCGTTCCAAGCTGGGCAGACGAGCAACAGTCTGAAAAACATGTCTTCCTCTTGGTGAGCTTAGACGTTTGTTGAGGGTCTGCAACTCGTTGACGGTGGCGATTACCGCAATGGCATTGTTTGTGGTATACTGAACAATCAACTGATACACAGTGTCCGCCATGCGATTGTAGTACTCTCCATCCTGACTGGACTGCTCTCCAGCAGAGTGGGCCAGTACATCCAAGTTTTCTAGCACAACAATGGCGGGGGCGTGCTGCAAGCAGCTGGTGAAAATGTTGCGAAGGTCTTTTTGAATGGACTCCGTTTTGCGGCCTTTGCTTCGCGATCCGTGGAAGAACTCAAAGTGACAATAATCCGGCTTGCGTGACAGCTGGTCCAAAATACGCTCCACAAGAACGGTTTTACCCGTTCCCGAGGCACCAGCGAGCAGGACATTGCACTGACGCATGACGGAATTGTCAGCACTTAGGCACAGATTCATGCGCAATTCCTGAACTACTTGATCCACAATCTTATCGTACTCCGGTAACTGGATGAGATCCTGAACACTTAATGGTGAAGTCGGTGGCGACTGCTCCTTGATAACCTCGCCAACGGGACGCACCAGATCTGCTGCATAGATCTTGGATTCCTTCAGGAACTGCGCGTCCACCACGCAATAACGAAAATGTTCTGGTAGAATTCCGACAGTAACCAGTAAATCATCCTCCAGCCGCACCACCTCCTCCTGGTTGAAGAGCATCGGCTTATGCTGAGTTCGCTCAATCACAAATCGCTTAAATGCATTCTCCATGATTTTGTAGTGCGTCTTCTTGTTGGCAAATAGCTCAATTTTTTCCACAAAGTTAGCTACGGTAGTTTTAGGCCTTAAAACGACTCGTTCCAATTCCTTGATGCCCAGCAATTTCATTAGATTGGCATTTAGTTCGATCGATGGATGAATGGTTTCTGGTAGATCGTCCTCTATATCATCTTCTACTGTGCGCACTCTCACATAGTAATCCTTGTCGGCAGCAGTGTGCATGCAATAAAACAGATCCAGATCAAAGAACTCTGGTAGATGATTCCGGTTCACGAAAACATCCGATTCCTGAGCCTGCTCTCGCCATAGACCTCGTATCACACGGAACTCGAAACTGCGCGAGCTTTCGCGGCGCAGATCCTTCTTAAGGCGCTCCATGTGATCCTGCCGCTTGTTCCTCTGTATAGTATTTTTCACATTGGACACCGTGGAGGAATGCGTCAAGGGCGTTGGCTTCTGTGTCAGCTCATCCTTGACCTGGGCAGTGGTTTTACTCCTGGATAGTTTAGTGTTCTCCTCTATAACACCATTTGATGTTCCATTGGTCAGTCCCTTGTACAGGTTGGGGGCCACCACGAGTTCCGTATTGTGATCTATTCTCCCGTAGTTCATGTGCGGCTTCAGACGATCTGATAAAATGGTTTCGAAATGAATACAAACGAAATTTAATTGATGGCAAATATTTACCCACTGTCAGCGCCACTTGCATTGACTTGTTAATCCAAACAATAAGGATCTGCGTTGAATTCACTATGCGAGTTTGCTCCAGCACACTGCCCGATATCTTTTCAGTGCTAAGTTCCTGCAAAAACGTAGTCATATTAATAAAATCAATTAATTAGTAAATTAAATAGTTAATTCAAATTAATTCAATCAATTCAGCGGGTCAATGGCAATGCCGGCCAAGCAATGGCAGTATAAAAAAAGAACAAGCGCACGCCCGCGCCAAATGATAATCCGATATAAACGGACTTGTCTATTTTTAAGCTGACCGCTGATCGCTGGCCACGCCGCCAAGCAGGCGAAACCATCACTCACAATGATCTCCCAGTCCTTGGACGAGACGGGGGTAACGTGGACGCTGCGCAGGTTGAGAACGTCAGCGATGAGCGCACACTTGACCAAATCATTCTCGTGCAGACCTACGGCAAGAAAGGGTAAAAGGGTAAGTGGGTGCGAGTGTACGAGTGTACGAGGTGCGGGGCAGATGGCCGGAGTCCAATATTACGGCACATTGGCAACCGATGCACATCCGGCCGTTAAGTAATGGCTTACCGATCTCCTTGGCCGCCCTGGCATTGATCCCAATCTCAGTGTCTTTGATGCCGCCGCCGCCCTTTTGTGGCGCCCAGGAGGCGTAGTGCGTCCGGCCGTTGTACTGCAAGCTCAGGCAGCCCGTGTCCTAATCAGAATGCCACAATGGTTAACCGGATTAATCTTTGGCGTATCTAATCTGCATGGAGCATGGACCTTTGGACACTTACATAGGTCGAGACGACGCCGTAGTACTGATCCGGCAGCAGCACAAAGTTGCTCCTGATGGGCCGATAGACCACCTTAAAAGTGCGTTTGAACATTCTCGACGTGGGCGTGTGCGAATTCAGTGCGCTCCTTCCTGGTTTAAATCATTTTCGCACTAAACTTCTGCTCTCTGCGGAATTTACTTTTGCTTTATTAGAGATGGGAGCCTGCGCGTCAGCTGAGCCGATACTTGCAACAAGTGAGACAGCTGATTAGAGATGGCCCCCTTCACAACTGTTCCCATCAACAAAATGCGAAACCGTTACCATAACCCTTTTTCGAATTCAAGTGAGAACAGATTCTGGATTTTTACCAAAATGGATTTTACAGCTCGTAGTAACTGGTAATGTACATTTTATAGAAATGTTACGTTCAGTTACGTTCCAAAATGAAAATACACTTTTGTTTTTGGCTAATTTATTGGGTTAATATTTTATTTAAAATAGTTCGAGTGTTCAATATAGTCGTGTAAATGTGTACAAAAGATCCGGCATTTTATATTTAATATATCGATTTTCCTTCTCTTTCGCTCCTCGTATACCATGCTGGCGTCTTATCAAATTAAATAACACAATATTTAAGAACTAACAATGCAGAGCGTGCTAATCGTGTATGTTTGCATTAAAACGCTGCGCTTCACTTCACTTGCGCTATTTCCTTCTTTTGGCAAATTAAACAGGAGAAGATATTGAAAGGATATGCATAAGGATGCCGATGGCACTTGTAAATATTTAAATACAATAAAACTGTGCTTATAGTTCAACTAAATTCGTTATTGCATTTTTAAATATACATCTAAGTATCTATATATCGCGAGAAGACACTATCCAAAAGAGATTACAAAAGCTTTTCAGTTTTATTTGCGTGTAATTTTCTGCTGCTTTATAGTAAACTGCTTTATATCAGTCTTCGTCAATTTGTTGTTGCTCGTGAGAATAAATTGGCTTATAAATGGAATATTTTTAATATAGTTTAATATATCCTTTGTATAAAAATTTTAATAAAATTTTATAAAATGTGTAGTTCATTGAGTGTAAAATATTCTAAAAATGATTTCCTCTGGCATGCAATATTTTGGCGTTTGTTTGGACTTTTGTAGCTGGCTGTGTGCGGAGTGAAAAAATAACAACATAAATAATCGATTAAATAGAAAAATATACAAAAGTTTAATGCATTTTACTTCCTTCTCATACAATTCACTGCTTATTTGACTTACTAATTTAATAAAATTAATTAAAATTCGGAGTTACGTAGAATATCTCCATATTCATGCGGATTTGCCATCTCGGATGGATGCAGCAAGTATTTCGTATTTGGTTAAAACGTAAGTTTAAAAAATACAATTAAATAGCACATATATAATTCGATATATATGTAAGTATATGTATGTACACAGGGTAAAAGTTAAATCATTATTTAACAATAAAGGATTTGATAAATACACCATTCAATTTTTCATGTTCAACTTAAATTCTAAGCAATCAAATTAAAATGCGTTTTATAAAACAAAATTTTGGCGATAAAAATGTTTCTACGAATTGAAGACGTGATTCACAGAATGGATGTTGTGCTTGTGGTTATCGTTGCTAAAAGTTCCGTTGAGAATAGGGATTCTTAGATACGGTAGTATTCGACTTGACTTAAAAATATATTGAGAAATATTCGAAAATAAAGGGATTTGCATGGAAGGGAATGTGAGTTTGTGTATGTGTAAGAGTGTCTCGAAAACAATTTAATCGCCCAATCACATATTGCAGTATCTGTAATATTTTCATTTTTGCTGTTTCGGTTTCGGTTTCAGTGTGAATTTTGATTTTCGATTCGTTGCCATTGCCCCGTCGTCGTCATTGCCTCGATTGCGTCGAACTTGATCTCGATCTCGATTCCTAACTCCTCGTCCTAACAATCCATTTCCTCCAGGGTGCGCGACAAACGATTATTGTCGATCCTCCGCCGCTGCGACCGCCGCACAGCATCCGCCCGCCGGTACGGCTCGCTCTTCAGGCCGAGCAGGATGTCCTCCAGGGCTCCGTTGTACACCTCGTCCTGCTGCAGTAGCTTCTTCTCGCGCACCGAGTGCGCCTTGCTCTTCAGCTCGTTTATGACAGCTTCCTGCAAGGATAATGCGCCGTTTGAGGGCAACTGTTTGCATTTCGTATTTTTTTTGAAGCAAGCGAGGCCAAGCCGGATTGGGATTAAAGAAAAAGAAACAGGTAAGCATTAGATAAGGTAAACCATCACCAAGGTACAAAATCTTATTACTAAAAGGTTATTCATATCTTGTAGTGCAAATTTTTAGGATCGGAAATTTCCAAGTTTTATAAGAATCCAAAGATATTTATTCTGTTATTATTTGGTAAGCTATTACATTCTAATATTCGAATATTTTGTTTATAAGTTTTTAAACCATTTTCTGTATTTCAAAATATTTCAAATAATATCCAAAATAAATAAATTTGGCAGCGCGCAAGGCATGTCACGAATACAAAATTTAAATAAGTACACATGTGAAATCAAATAGTCGATGTAGACTGGATTTGTCGAGGAATTTTGCGGGAATTAGGAAACACAATAGTGCAGGATTAGTCTGAACAAATACAGTGTTAGGAGACAGGTAGAGACAAGCCAGGCGACTTACACTAATGTGGGAACTTTACACAAAACATATCCCGTCATATGCCGCCCACAATGGGCAACAACTAGGATTTCGATTTGATTTGGTAATGGATTAGCGGGGATTTGCGGCACGAGCTCAGACCAAGCCCCCCCTCGAATTCCCGTCCCCAGTTGGGAATTAGTCAGAGTGTGGTGTGATTTGTGTGAGTCAACCAAATAACCAAGTTAACGTGCTTAGATTGAGGAAGTGGCCGGTGGGTGGATGCTACGATTGGACAAGCTGCTTCTGTTGCTGATTGGCAAAGTCGTGCAGACAATGTATTTGCTGCATGAATCAAATCAAACGAGATCAAAACAAATCATAACAGGTTATCAGGTTTGAAACGATACGTGCATATAGAGATTAGACATATGGAACCGTTAATACGGACTTGGGCACCCTGCGATAGAGGGCCTATTGGCGAGCTCTTCGTGGTGGATGGCCTCCACTCACCTGTTGCTTTTTCTGGTTAACCTTGTTGCGCATTAGCACCTGATCGCTCTCTTTCTTGGAAGCGGCCAACGCAGCGGCCTTTTCCAGGCGCAGACGCTGCTCGTTCTCCTGATCGTGTTGCTAAAATAACCAAAGATATCATATTAGTAGGGTAATGAGGAATCATTTTAAATAATCCCACCTTAAACGCTCGTGTGAAGCGTACGATCAATGCAAAGAAAGCAGCCGCATCGGCATTCCGCGAGGAGTCGCCAAAGTACTCGACGCACTCCTTGAAGGCTTCCTGTGCATGCCGCAGATCGCTCTTGATCTTCTTCAGCTTGTCTTCGCTGTTGTTCAGGAAGTCCCGCAGGATATGCGTCTGGGCACCCTTCACTCGCAGCTCAGCTTCCTTGCGGACCAGATCCATGCCCTTTTCCAGCTCCTGAACATCGGCCACCACATTCTCTAGTGCCACCGATGCAGCCTTGTCTGTTCCATACAGTTCGCTTTCGAAGTTCAGCAGCTCCGGGAACTTGGCCCGTATGGTGGCCACAATATAGTGCAGCAGCGACGATCGCTTGTCCGTGGATTTTGTATCGATCAGCGTGTCCAGCGATTGCAGCTTAAAGCCATAGGCTGGTCCCCGTTTATTGCTGTTGAGATAGTTGCCAAAAGCCAGGACAATTTCCAAAACCGCCTTGAATTTTCGCGATTGTTTCAAAGAATTCGATGCTCCGGCTATCGATTGCACTTGCTAGAATAAAGAGAATAATATATTTATTTGATTATTCGTAAATGTGTCAATAATAAAGTGCTCAAATTTCTTGCTGATCAAAGTGCAATTATGCTGATGGCATTCGGATTCCTAATTTTATAAACAGAGATATGTTTCCTTCTTATTGTCCAACAAAATAAACAAAACGAATAGTAAACCAGCTGACACATGACTTAACAATTAGTCATAGAAACCGATATAATATTTACCCGAGTCGTAATTTCATTCGTAATAAGTGCCTAATATTAATATTTCCTCACCGGACTAATGAGATGAACGCTGTCGACAAAATTGCCCATATAGTTCATGATGGCCAGCTTGGACGAGATACGCTCCACACGCGACAACTGCAGCATAAACTTGTCTTCTTCGGTGAGTAGCTGCTGGTCCTTGCGCTCGATGATGTATTCCTTGTAGGACTTGACCTCGGCATCCGTGGGCACCATCTTTTGCAGCAGCTCAACGTTCTCCAGAGAAAGTTTCTTCAGGTCCAGGCTATGAATGGCGGCGATGACATCGTCAATGGGCATACCCAGCTTGCGACGGGAGATTGCTGAGAGCATAGAGAAAAGTCAGTTGATTCAGAAATAGAAAAGATAATACAGAACACTCACCAATGTTTCTTAACCTCGTGTGCTCCAGTAGCGAGACATTGTCGGGTCTCTTGAAGCGTTTGCTGGACTGCAGCGACCCATCGACCTCGGTTCCACTGCTACCATTGCGCAAGGCGCCGCCAATGCCTATCTTGAATCGCTCCTCAAACTCGTTGAAGTCGATTTGCTTGAAGATCTTTTCGTCATCCAGCTCGTTGAATATTGTACCACGTACCTGAACAAATGAAGTTAGTAAAATTGAAGATTATATGTAATGCACATCATTGTGCCTACCTGATTAGGCTTTAGTGCGATCCAGTTCAAGGTTGGCAACTTGTATTTAGTGGGCACCTTGCGCTTAATGGTCATGGCGCCATCGGGAGCGGGCATAAAGCCGGCCACTGGAGGCGGTGGCGGTTGGAAGGAGCTCAGCATGGGCGGGGCATGTGGCGGCGATGGCGCCGTCGAGGTGAGGCTGCCGCTCGGACTGCCCAGCGGACTGAAGCCCGGCATCATTGGCGGTGGTGGTGGAGCCGGTGGTGCTGGCGGCGGAGGTGGCGGAGGAGCAGCTAAACTTGCGGTAGGCGAGGCGGGCATTGGAGGCGGAGGTGGTGGCAAAGTTAGAGAGGCTGCCCCCGAAGTGGAACCAGCCATGAGGCCACCATTCGCCAGAGAACCATCTCCGCTGGAGGCGGATCGTGGCAAGGAACGCGTAAGCGTCTGCAGCTCCATGTTCTTTGTGTGCAGCAGTGTGTCCCGCTTCTTCAATTCCTGCTCGTTGTGCTGCAACATCCGCTGCATCACCGTAAGATCCTCCTCCTGCTTCTGCCGAATCATAGCCAGCTGCTCGCGTTCCGTCTTCAACGTAAGATTCTCCGACTCCAATTCCGCATACTTGTAGAGGAACTCTGAGTTACGATCTATTTCTCGCTCAAGTTGATCCTCAAGCTCCTGGACTCGCTCCAGGGCTGAAGTTTTTGTTTCGGAATCTTCCATCAAGGCAGCCACATCGAAAACGTTGTCCAAATAGGCTGATATCTGCACCTTCAGCTCCTCCGACTCTGTCAGTCGAATTCGCTCCAGATACTTATCCAAGCCCAGGGCCGTGAACTCGTACTGCAAGTGGACCCTGTAGTTCATATCCTCCACCGAGTGGACAACTATGTTCATGAACTGCATGCAGGCAACCATAAAGTCTATGTTAAAGGCCTCGAAGTTCATGAAGTACTCCATGAGGGTTTGGAAGCGTCGCTTCTCTTGGCACACATCCTTGAAGTTATCGAACGAACCCAAAATGATCTCGTGTCCGCCCTTTACCAGACAGATGGCTGCCAGCAGCTCCAGGACCAGGGCTTTCGTCCTCAGCGATTTGTGGATGAGACTCAAGGCAATGCAGTTGATGGCCTCGCGGTGCTGGATGACCATGTTGAACCCATACTTATTGTTCATGATCGCTCGCAGGCACATAATGGACACATGGATGTCGTCCGTGGCAGCACCCATGTTCAATTTGGCAATATGTCGTGACCTTCGCTTCAAACTAGGACTATCCAGGGCATCGGCAATGGTGGGTCGTAGGAATCCATAGGACATTGTGTGCTGCTGCCTAGAGTCCAGGGTGCCATTGGCCAGACCATGTCCCGCACTGTTTCCATGGGACAGTAGACCACCACCTCCACCAGGACTAACAGAACTACTGTTTCCCATCACCATCTCACCGCCATCGCCGCCGTTTGTGAGATTCAGACGCTCCTCAGAGGCACACAAGACACCCTGAAGGCGCTGCTCGTGCCGCATCATCTGCAGCCGGAAGCTGAGATAGTCGACCAGGGCGTCCAGACCCTGGTTCGTGTCATCCAGGAACTCCTTCACCCACTCGATGTGGTTCGTGCGCAGCGAGATCTCCAGATCGCGGAGCACCTGGGTGGACGTGGACTCGCCGACCATTTTCCGTTTCTGACAAAGAAAGTAGAAGAGATAAAGCTGTAGGTGTACAAAGAGAGAGGGAGGGTGGAGGATAGGATGACGGGAGGCCGGAAACAGGCGACAGGATGCAGTTGATGGAGTCAGCAGCGCGAGGACCAGGACGACGATCGATTTGGGATAGTGCAGGTGCCAGGAGGTAGACAAACAAATAGAGAAAGAGATGGGTAGAAACAGGAAAGACGATAGTGTGGGAATCGTGGATCGTGGTGTGTTGTCAGTGTTGTGAGTAGAGAAATGAAATTTACACATTAATATTGGAACAACAGATTTAAATTTTAAGTAGGGTTATTAACTTTAGTTTTCCATTAGCTTGGCCTAATAGTTTATTTAGAAGTCGTATACATGTTTAGTCTATTTAGACTATTTTGAGTTTAACAACCAGAAACCACACTACAGAAACTACTACAGGAAACTAGAAACAATGTCGTATTAGGAACTTAACGTACCCGATGACTCCTTGATGCCTTTGGGTCCAAGTATGTGCGCAGTTTACTCAAGTAATGTGAGGGCGGATCCTTTGCCTGCACCATTTCCTATAAAAGAATTGAAAATGTAAATTAATTGGAAGTCTCACAATAAGCTGCAATGTGGAAGAATTTTTTCAAAGGTGGCGCTCGGACACTGAGTAGAAAAACTCGTTGAGCTACTGAACTTCAGTTAACAGACTTTATGTTACACGGCTGACTGACCAGTGACAAAGGTCAAACGAATTGGAGTTATGTCCGCCAATAAGATCCAGGTTAGTTCATGTTTTTAGAAGTTATACAGATACAATTGCCAGGCAAGGTTTCGTAGCCAATAAAACAGCTATATTTCTTGAAAACGTTTTAACAATCGTTTTCAGTTATATTGACGCTTTAACACCAGAAATACTATACTCGCTGCCTAATAAATAATTACTCCCTGTATCACATTAATGGCCCCTGAAATCATCTCTGCCGGAGTTACCCAAGTCGCTGTTCAACGAACTGCCAGTGATCGGGCAACTGGCGGTGGATCGGTGGATCGGTGGGTAAATTCAGCGATACCACATGCATTAACACTAGACCGAGACTTAGCGGCTTTTACTTTTGTTGTTCCCTCTGTGCTTTAACTGCATATTTTCGTAGATGTTTATGTTACCGCAATCGAATCCCCCCGGTGGAGTCTTGGTTCCCCCGAACACATATGTAAGCATCGATGGCTTGCCTAACTCTAAACATTTTTAAGCATGAAGCGTGGTATACTTGTTTTGGCCTGCGTCTGTTTATGGGTTTTGTTTAACTATGCCAACAACTAAGGCAACTAAGGCAGCCACCAAAAGCCACAGAAACAGCACCAACAGCCAACGCATGACTACAACCTAAACTATGTGTGGGTTTTGGTTTTGGTTTTTGGTTTGGGTTTGAGTTTGGGTTTGCGTTTGCGTTCGGGTTCGAACTGCAGCTAGAGAAAAACCAGTTTGATTCTTTTTCCCAGTCAAAGAGAGCTGGAGAAAAATATCAGCATTCATACAGGCGCACAGATATCCATATTCCCATATGTATACGTATACGGATATGTAAACCGCTGCAAGCGGCTCCAACGATTAAAAACTGCAACTTATCGCCGTCATAATAATTTGCATTTTGTCACTGTGAGCACGCGAAGCAACTGGGCAACAGGGACAGGAAGATGTGGCGAGGACCGAGTCCATGGGATTGGCCTCACCTCACTCCGCTCCACGTCCTCGAGTGGCTAGCTTCACCTCCACCATCCCACCATCCCACCATCCTGTCCATCGGACCTGTCCGTCCCATTGTCTCCCTGTCCGTCTTTCAGTGGGCTGCGTTTTCATTCATTTTCATGACTAAACGAACTTTGAGTGCAACTGTGGACTGGGTATATGCAAATGCAGCTAGTAAACTCAATAAAGGATGTTGGCAAATTTATCTTAAAAATATATTCCGTTTCTTGAACGTAATTGCCAATTGTGGGCCTATTCAACTAGGCTTCCTTCAGTTGATTTACTTTTACATGTATTGTTCGTTTGACACGATCATGAATCAGACTTTAATTTCCTTTCATACTAGACATAGAATTATAGTTAAATAATCACGTTCAAAAGAAAAGCAATTGGCCTTAGTTCCATAATAGATAATACAACTTTTGAAATATAAATGTAATTTTTTTGTTGTTATATAAGTTTGATATTTGGACTTTAGAGCCTTTCTCCTTTTGCGTAACTTGTACAGCTCACTTTACTTGTATTGCAATTTTTCCATCAACTTTCCAATAATTGACCCACTGTGCAGTGGGCCTGAGTTATGGAAAACAGGTCTGGGTTGCAGGCATGCAGGCGGCTAAGGAACCGGCAACCGACGACGACATGGACAACAACAATAGTCGTAGGAATAAAGCCACCAACAACAACAACAACAACAACAACAGCAGCAGCAATTCGTGTTGGGTGTTTAAGATATTTTATCGTATGGCAGAAAATGTTTGACGTGAGTACCAGAGTGCCGAAGAGTGTTGAGCATTCCTGCCTCGGATCTTTTTTTCGAGAGCTACTCCACCAAAATGCCGATGGCGAATATATTATGCTCGACGTCGCCGTTGTTTTCCGTTGTTATTTTCCTAGGTGCAGCTCTTGAAAATTCAGTGACCCAGTTGCAAGTGAGATGGATAGATAGCTGGTTGGATGGATGGATGGATGGTTAGATAGATATAATCCACCAAAAAAAAAAAAAAAAGAGGCACGCTCTGGCGCACACGTTAATAGTTTCGTCATATTCCAAAAACAGCAGCAGTCAACATAACACGCAAACTGAAATTTTGTCCACATAGCGAATAGCACTCGTACATATACAATTTATTGCCCTATTCTAAGCCAATTTAGAGTCGCTCTCATTGCCAAAATGTTTTTGGTGTTTTGGATTCAGCGAGCGCATTTAAATCACTAAAGACTCTGGTGTGCGAAGCGGCAAAAAATACATCAAAAGCGCGAGCCACAAAACAGCACGCACTGCATAATGATTTAATGATTGACAAAGCTGATACGCAGTGTCTTTATACATATAGTTATCTATCTAGACAGACAGCGACATATACTTAAACACATGTCCTACAATTTATTTGTGGCAGTTCAGCAATTATTGTTGAATGACTCTCGGATAAAAACACTACAAAATAATTCCGGGGTTCAGCTTGTTTAGGTATACGGATAATATGATAAACACTACAAAAAAATTCCGTAGTTCAGCTTGGTTAGGTATACGATAATATGATTAAATCGTGTGATTAAATATGATTCAACTCTCTAGCCTAAATTCCTATAAAAAATAGTGCGTGAGCTTAAAAGTCAACAGGTTAAACAGAAGCTACCGGATGAAGTAGTGCTTACAGATAGCCAAGCCTACTTTTTTATCACATACGAGTATGTTACCAGGAAATGAACAGATTACTATTATTGTCACCTCAAGAGCTTTTGTCTACCTTTAAGATCAAGAGCCGACCTGCTTGAGCTATTTGCAACCCAGTTGGCAGTTACTAATTGAAAGAGAATTTCAAAAAGTCGCTCAAGGCATAAAAGCCTTAGGAATTCCAACTGGCCTACGCTCACACAATTCCATTGCGCAAAGCCATTTAGTAGAGCTTAATTAGAGCGGCGCCTGCTCCACTCCACTAAAGGTCAGTGCTAAAGGTGTCGGCATCAGCAAGACCCCCACTGAGTCCATGTCCATGTTTCTATTGTCACCCCCCTTTGAACTGCGCCAAGAATGGGTCCAAAGTGCAAAACTGGGAACGAAACAGCTCGCAATCTCACAATGAGGTTGATAGCAGAGTTTTTAGCTACAAAATGTGCAATGTGTTATTAAAAATAAAAAATGTAATCTTTATAGTTATGAATAATTCGTCAAGCCACAAAAATACCATTATTAAAACCATAATTCCAACTTCCTTTAATGTACGATAAATGCACTATTATTCATCATTATTATTCATTGTTATATAAATGATTTGTATTGCTATATACCTATAACTAATCTTAGCTATTATTAACCAGAATTCGTTACTCACTTGATCGCATATCATGTCCCACTTCTTCTCGTCATCGTAGTTCCGCAGCAACTTTGCTTTATCAGGTGGCAAGTCCATCGAAGCCTGTCGCCAAAGCAAATGAAAAGACAAGAATGAAATTAGTAAGCGTTGATCCTCAGATAAAGAAATGCATTAGCAAAGATATATTTTCGAAGAAATGGTAAATGCTGGAAATGGCACTCAGCCAATTGGCAAGCCCCAAATATACCGCGTATTATGGTCCTCAGTCTTGCATCTCTGGAGTGCTGACTCCTTTGTTTCATTGCACAAGTAAATATTGGAGTACTATAGCTCCTGAGGTAGATTTAAAGATTTAAAGAGTTGCGACACCATAAAGAAGACCCAACAAACAGAAGGAAAGTTAAGCGAAGAGATGTCAGGAATGTGATATTTGAAGCAGCTTAAATGGAAAATGAATACTCTTGTTATAACCTTGTATAATTTAAATACAAATATTTCAGAACAACCGAGAGACATGATGTTCAGATTAGAGCTGCAGCTCACTGAACCATAAAGCAAAATCAAATAATCAGAACCAATTTACCTGCTCGACTGCAGACGATTGTGTAAAATGGTTAAATGTACAATTTAACGGGAGGGAATGCACCATAATGAAATCGGCAAATATGCTTACGTGACTTCAATTTAATTTTTCCACTTTTTCTCCTTTTTTATGGGTGCAGCTGCAGTTGGAAGTTCTAATTAGACACACACACAAACACACGCACACTCAATAATGGGAGGAGGATGGCCAAAGGGCGTGGTGAGGATGGAGGGAGCTACGGAAAATAAATGCAAAATGCATACCCACACAATTTCGGATGCACATTCGGAATAAAATGAATAAAGGGAAAGTATTTAGTGCGTTGAAATGCACGGGAACGAAACCGATTTTCATCTCTGGCCGTAGATCATCAATAGAATAAATTATAACTCGTAGACCCAAACTTGTCAAACAAATCACTTCACATCTTTCGAGGAAGCATTTATTGCCTAAACCTATTTATAACAAATTTAAGCAAATACTTTAAGGAAACAAAAATAATATTTTCAAAGCTAGCTTCTCTGTTAAGTTTTAAGAGTAACTTTGCTTGTGAAAGGTCATTAATTCAGAAAAGCGTATTGGAAAAGTGACATTGAAACCATAAAATGATTAAACTTATTAAGCAGATTCAATCGGTTTTTGGCCTCAGTTTTTATCAAGAATAAAACTACAATTAACGCAAGATCAGTAAGAATTTAATCTCTTTTCTGAGACGGTGAAATTAATTTCCTCGTTTATTTTCCAGTCCAAGATGTTTTTATTCACATGATAATAATAATAAAGTGCTTTCTGCTCAATGTTTTTTCCCATTCAATTACTGCAAATTTACATGGAGCTTGCCAGCTTATCCCAGTGTTAATTAAGCTAAACAATTATTACAATTATCTTAAATTCAGGCTTTGTTAACTTTTTTTCTACGTGCTCATTGCTTCATACGAACGTAATATGTTTTACATACTCAGAGGAATGTGAGTAACTGCGAGAATGATTGCAAAATTTATTGATTAATTAATTGTAATGTTATGGGTGAGCCCACTGGGACCCAACTCCCATCCATCCCGTCATCCCCATCGATTCCACTCCCAGTCCATTGTCCGTTACGGTCTGAGCCCATCAGACTGAGTGATTTGCCTCTACGCGCCTTTCATAATAACAAAACAATAAATAAGTAAATGAAAGAGTGCATAAAAAGAGAGAATAATAAACAAGGTAACAAAGACGAGAGCTCTCTTCAATATTTATGCCAGGGCAGACAGGCTCCGAAAGCCAGAAAGCGAAAACTTACTATATAAATTGGACATGATGTAGTAAATACGCTGTATATAATGAATTACTTGACCGGCATACCGGATACGCATTTTAAATTTGTTTTATTTTTGTGCCCCTCTATCTACATTTGTGTGTATGTGCATAATGGGACGCTACGGACTGTAAGCCTCGCAACCCCCATTAAACTTCAATCTGTCTACGCTCATGCCAAATGAGTAAGCTGCGGAGGTATTTATTATAGAACTTCATATAAAAATTATGAACAGCCAGTACTGGAAGTGACTAAGTCGAACTGTTGAAACAATTGCCTCGACTAGCAATTACCTATTACATTTGGAAACAAACAGCTTGATCAATAAGGGAAATATGACTGACATTGAAGGAATCAATGTTGTAAGCTGTGAGTAATAGGCAGATGATATTCACTATCCTTAATTCGTTTTGCCGACCAATAATGGAACCTTAAGTACATTTCATATCATATTAAGAACGAACCTCATGCGATATTATACATTATTTTTCATGCGAATCATGAACGCAATCGGAACATGTGTGTTAAGTGATGTTTATTGTGTTTATTTATTATTTATTAGTGTTTATTTCTGTTAATCTATCATATCATTTTAAAGCACAAGTATTATACTTCAAAAGATTATAAGACGCCAAACGGTTTTATAAAAGGTAGCACTTCCTTTTTTCTGATAACTTTGAATGTATTTGTTAGTTCTGCGATAAAAAACACCGAGTACAATTTTTATGATTTTTATGATTATGATTATGATTTTATGATTTTTATGATTTTTTATGATTCGTTTACCGATAAAGATATATTTCAGGACTCTGACTAATATTTAGTTTCCGGCACGAGCTGTTATCCCTTAGAATAAAATAAGATCTACTTGATCAACCGTTTTCCTTTGATTCAGTAAATTATCTAACATTAGATTCCCATGAACTCTGCAGTCGATTAGCATTTATCCACATTTCCCCGCAAAAAAACAGATGGTCTTATGTTTTTATCATTAGTAGGTTTTTTGCTATGCTCTTTTTTTGCCGACCGCAAAGGAAGTGAACAGAAAAGATAAACTTATGTTTGCCCTACAAGGCAGATAAAGGGGTTCACATAATGTGGAAGTCTCATTTTTTCTGCAGAGTTCACTAGATAAAGAAAATCCAAATGGACAATGCGTTTAGCAAAGCCATGAATGTATTGCCATTGAATGAATCGAGGGCTGCCAATAGAGTTCGGGTAAAGCATAAAACAAAATAATAACTCGTCGAATACAGTTAATACTGTACAAAAAAAATCTATTTTCTATTCTGATAATGCTAGATAAAATACATTTCACAAAATGTTATTATTATCACTTAGCAAGACTTTTTATCGATTTTCTAAAGGTTCGAAAGGTAAGTTTCAAAATACCAAGCACATTAAAACAAAAACAATGAAACCCGCCTTCGGATGGGCCAAGATTGCCTAACAATGTTAACAACAATAACTTCTGTGGTTCACTGCCTTGCGGTTTGTCAGCCACTGGCAAAGTCATTAGGAGAGGCGGCTAACCCCGAATCACCTCACCTTAACTACGCCCCTGCAGGCAATTGTTTATAGATATTGATTCTAGGCCCAAGACTCTTGGGCAACGATGTTAAGCCGAGTGAAAGTTGGCTAGCTTGAGAAAGCTGGTAAGCGATCGGGGATGAGGATTTGATGCGGTTTAGTCTTTGTGTCTTTCACTGTTTTTATGTCAATTTATGTGAATAATGACACCCACAACTTAAACCGCAGATAAGTCTCTTGAAAGTCAAAACTTTCAATAATGCCATCACATTAACGTTTTTATTCATTTGTATTTGCAGCCCGACTCTCTGAAGCTGCATTAAATGCACTTTTACTTTCAATTGAATAAGCTTTGTAGATTTTATTGGCTTGATGCCAATTTTAAGGCAATTAAAGTGAATTAGTAAACAAACACATGCAAACAGTAACCCCTGCGGTTATTTGTATTCATTTGTACGCAGAAGAAGTACAATAAATATCACAGCTGGAATCTGCCGTACAAAGAGCCAAAAGGAAAACTGCATATTTTTTTTACATAAACTCATAATTGCCTTTTTAAACTTTATAGCCAATCAATTTACCAACTAAAGGAGTTGTTTGTATCATTTATAAGACTTTTGCATAATTTAGGTGTATACTATGTGATAGTAAGAAAGAAGATAATGCTTACTTAAACGTAAGTTCAATAAAGAACCTTCTTAAATGAAACTTAGTTTATTTGCAAAAGTTTCACAGCCTCCATCTTAAAAGTTCAATAAACCCACGCGGCAGAGCTTAAAGAAGCCGGATTTGAAACAAATTAAGAATTAACTTGCAACAAATAGACATACGTGTAATTTAACCGGAAACACATGCGCCTGCACCAACTGCGTCTGATTAGATCCCAGCCAACGGCAAATTATTAGCGGCCACATTGTCGGATTGTTGTTATTTTTAAACTATGAATCAGACAAGCAATTGCTGTCGATCGGAAGCCGACTGCACGGACATTGGCGCATTGGATCTGCCAGTCTCCGGTCCGTCAAGTCCAGTCCAGCCAAGGGAAGTCAATTCCACTTCAGTGGCAATGGGCCAGCGAGCAGCACTTTTGCCTAAATTAAGGTAAACACGAATTAAGGCAAGCCGGAGACACAAGGCAAGGGCGAGGCCACCAGGGTCCGGCACAGCACCTCCAGTCCCACCAGCACCTCCAGCACCACCAGTACCTCCAGCAGTGCCAGCACCGCCACAATGCCACCGAAATGGCAAACAAACACAATATCAAGGGGCGAAAAATGAAAAAAATAACAGACATAGGTAAACAGACGAAAACACACACTTTGAGTGCGAAAAGAAGGCAATGAATTTTGAACAAACAATAGACCCAGAATAGCAAATGCTATCTAAGGTCTGTCGATATCGGGAATACCCTTGAATTATCATATATTGGACTAGAAATTGGCAACGGAATGGGCATTGGGGTTTATTTTAGATTAGGCGGGTTAACAGCCATATCTATTGTGATAATCTATACTTATACAGGGGTATAATGGGTAAAGGGGCAACCTTTTATGTCTGCGATAACAATTGATAAAAAGATTTGACTGTCTATTAAAGACATTGTATTTTAAAACAATCTTATTTAAAACGTTTTGCATAGTTTCATCCAAAACCTTTTTAAATATAAACTTCCATACCATATTTACTTGCTCGGCTCAAATGGTAGATATTAGGGATAAAGCTTATAATTCTTAATGGCTTTGATAAACGAATCAATATTTTGTGTCCCCAAAAATGGCATACGAGTAATAAAAACGTGCTTCCTTATCGAGATGCGCACGGAAGAAGTTACAACCATGAGATCATACAGAACGAAAAGGAAGTGGAGAAATTGTGGGATTAAAATAAGAATAGGTGCCAAGTATATGAGCTTATTAATGTATTAAGAAGATAAATATAATAAATATTGCATTTTTAAACAACATTCCATATGCTCAGAGCAGTATTTACAGCCTTGAGATCAAAACAAAAGATCTTGGGAATGGGCATAATGCCAAAAATGAGCAGATAAGTGGGAAACCCGTTGGAGGAGCATTTCTCATATTACTGACTGAACAGACTGAACTGACTGCCGATAACTGAGAGCTCAAGCTGCGCCATATAAATAAAGAGTTCTGCCCTCGCCATCCCCTTTTGCTTTTGTTCAGTTGGACTGAGAGATAAGCCGCGATCTGGAAGCCATCTCATCCAGCAGCTTCGGCGGTCGCCGAGTGCGAGAAAGGGAGGGCAGGCGAGCGGACCCATATGCCGGCGGTCCAGTGAGGCGGTGAGTCAGCGAGTGACTCGAGTGCGACAGAGAGGGCGACAATCGATCAATTCGCTTTAATTGCCATTACCATGCCGAATTCGAGTGGCTTTTTCGAGGGGCAACGTTGGAGGCGAATCAAATGGCGGCTGTGGGTCACTATCCGTTACGCTTTTATGACGGTCAGCGCTGAGAGCTCTTTGGCTCTATTCTGGGCATGTTTTATTTTTTGGCAATATTTTTACTCGCCGTTTACTCGTAAAATCTTAATTACGCAGCCTTGTTCGGAGAAAAAACCGCCTAATGGGATGACAAACGAATTCTGTTGGCAGGCACACGCCTTTAGAACAGTGGTGGGCGTATTTAAAGTTAGCTTCAAAAGAACTGTGTCATTCCTTCAATTGTAATGATCACAGAAGCATTGAGGAGGTTGAACCTTACTACCTTAAAATAATTCAGTGCAAGAGGATATTATGAATGCAATTTCAAACATGGGATTAGCTAAGCTGTTCAGCACACATGTACATATATGGTAGTTTCCATTCAGACCCCAGTCCACTGTGCCCTGCTTGGGGAGTTGTGCAAGCCGGAGCGGAGAACAGAACGGGACCGAATCGACTTGAACTGGGGAGAGGCGCAGATACAAACTCAGAGATACTCACGAACACCAGCGAACACTCACGTTCGCCATGTGTGTGTGTGTGTGTGTGTGTGTGGCTGACAAAAATTCAAGCGAACAAGTCGCCGCACACTCGATGAGGTCATCAATCACATGCAACAAATGCGAGGGCGGAAAAAACGGGCTGGGGCAGGAAGCCAATCCTTAAGCTTCTATATACCAACTACTACATTCGCTAAGCAAACTGAATCTCCCAAATGTATTCTTGAATATAAACAAACATTTCTTCTAGTGAATTAAAAAATATTACCGATTCGAAAAAGGGGATATACTTGCTTCCAAACATTCGATTCGAGTATAAAAGCTTAACAAGATTTCTCTATAAAGATCGATTTGTATTCATGCACCATTTACGCATTTCAATTTATTTATTTAAATTTATTTGTCGATCCCAAAATAGCTCATTTGTACATAGATATAAATGTATTCTAAGTTCCAATGTTATACAAAGTATATGAAAAAAAATTTGAAGCTAATAATTAAAAGGAACTTTATTGGCCAAAAACTATGCAACGCTTTTCATAAATGTATGGCTAGTTATTTAAAAATGAGTCCATAAATTACTTGTGTTTATTTTGGTTATATGCGTAGTTTTACTACCAGAAGACTTCAAGGTGTGTACAATTATTTATGAGTACTAAACTGGGCAAATGTCAGGTTGCAATAATGTTTCAGTTTTAAATGAGCAGAAGACAAAATGTTTTTTAAATCTTTGAAATTATCTTCTTTATCGGAGTAACCTAGAAAAATGCATGGTAATATTTTTCTTTGCAAATTTCTTGTCATTTGGGATTGGAATGGTAAAGGGGACCGAAATATAAGACTGTTAACGCTCAAAATAAATTTAGTGTTGAAAATTTTGCAAATTTCAATAAATATAGCTGATCTTTAAAGCATAGGTTGTTTTTTTTGTCGACTAATTGGGATCATCTTACCAGCACTTTGGCGAATCGCCGGTCCAGCTCATCCGTGGTGGGCATGGGTTGCTGGCTCCGGCTTCGCAAGCTCGGCTGCCTGACATGCTGGTACTGGGAGCTGCAGCCGATGTCGTAGCGCAGATCCTGTTTCTGCAGCGTGCCGCTGGAGATGGAACCGTTGTGCTGGTGGCCATTGCGCATCGAGTGATGGTGCGCATGCGGATGGGGATGCTGCAGCTGCTCATCGGCGTCCACATCGGCGCTGGTGATGGTTCGCGATTTGACTGCGCCCATTATGGTGGCAAAGCGACCCGAGCCCGAGCCGGAGACGGAGCCGCCTCCTCCTCCTCCGCCGCCTCCCCCTGGATCCTGTAATCCCCGCGATCCGGAGCCGCCGCCGCCGATGGCGTCCTCGATGGTCGCCGCTTGGAGCGCTGTGCTAAGGGACAGCGATAGGGTACCCCATACAGTCCGGCAAAGGGCACGGGTGCGTTCCGGGCAACTTGAAAGTTGCTCTTTGATTCCGTTGAAGATATCCAAAGCGGCTGCTGCCTGTTTCTCTGCTATCGAACGCTCAGCACAACTGGCCAATCGAAAATGACTATTTTCCGGGCGTGTTTTTTCTTATTTTTTTATAATTTTTTTTGGTTAATTTTTTTTTTTTTTGGGTTTGAGAAAGTGTAAAAAGTGCTGGGTGCCAAAATTTGTACAATTTAATTTAATTCTTTCTGACAATGTAAGCAAAAACACAATTTGTTGCTGCTGCTGTTGTTGTTGTTGCTGGTGGTGCAACGGCGGCACTCACACAAGCACACTGCCACTAGCACACACACAAACACACACACAGGCACGCACACACGTACAGCGATACACGGATGCAGGCACACAAACACAGACAAAGGACCAGATTTCGATGAAAGGCTCCTGCGGCAGGCGACGCCTCTTCTGCTTTGTTTGCAGGTTTTTCCGATCGAGGGGTGTGCAATTTGCTTACAATTTGCCTTACATACCGCATTCGACACGGTCTGTGGGCGAGGAGTGTGAGAACCGAGAGCAACTGCAGTTAAATGCACTTTATTTTGCCGACCGACCGACCGCACGACAACCGCGCTACACGAATATTCCGGACAGTGTGACCGTGCTGGGTCTGCGCACGAATGCCGAACACTTGCGAAAAACATCCTAAATATGCCTGAAACTGCGTTTAGCCAAGTCTCAAACCAGTTAACTTACATGCTATGGCATATTTGTGGTAATTACGAACGGTCACACTTAAAATAAGAACACATTTGTTTTACGTTTTATATCGAAGAAAATATGCCCATATTGGCTTAAATAGACTGTTACGATTGATAGCCATGAGCACACCTCGCAAGAACTATAACAACCAGCCGCCCTACCGCCCACAAGGCGGTCAGTACCCATCGCAGTCCGCAGACTACAGATCCCAGCAATTCGGTGGCCAGCAGAAGCCACAAAATCAAAGCTTTGGCTTCTACGAGGACAAACAGGGCCAGCAAAGTGTTCCGCATTTCTACCAAAACAAATCCCCACAGGAGCCGCAACGCCATCGGTCCTACGGTCAGGGCAGGAATTTCGGACGCGGCGGCAACTTCCATCGCAGGAACCAACCCAACTGGGATCAGAATCCGAGGAACCACCAGAACAGGGAGCACAACCAGAGCGGCAGCTCCTACGGCCAGTACTTCCATCCCTCCATGCTGGAGGATCCCTGGCGAGAGCTAATGGAACGCCACGAGGCCATCCACGGACCCAGCACTAGCCGAACTCCACCGAAAGAGGTAGCGGCTTCTTAGGCCTGTTACATACTAAGGATAAAATGTATAATATTAGACTAGCACAGAGATAATTTTAGTTAATTCCTGTATAATTTCCTAATAGCGAAATAAGACTTTCAGTTTACGTACACCTTTTATGACTTTTCAAGAAATATGAAGAAAAAAGGTTTCAATCAAAGGGGAGAACTAAAGGCTCAGAAATCATCAGGTAGTCTGCTTTTGAATGGCACCCGTGCTGAAAAACCGCTCCAACACCTTCTAAAAAAGAACTACGGCTTAGGTTGTAACATTTTATACAATTAAGCAACAGTTCCACGTGAGTGAAACCCGTGTATACTCTAATCAACTTAAGACTACCGAATTCCATCCCCTGAGTGCAAAAGGGGCTCCCCGAGTGAGCTGCTAAAAGTGCTGCTGTTGATGCCGCTTCTTCTCCAGGTACTTCTCCCAGTCGGCGGCAACCCGCTTGTAGATACTCATGGCGGCGAATGCATCCTCCACGGAATTGTGCTCGCCCGTTTGGATCTCCTGACCCAGAACGGCCATAGTTAGGCGCTTTAGGCTGGGCGTGTGGGCATTAGAGACGAGTTTGCAGAGCGGCTTGTAGCGCGACGTATCACGGATATCATGGATCGGATGGCGGATGCTCAGTACGGCAAGATCGTTGCCCAGCCCGTGCCCCACCAGAATGCGACCGTGTAGCAGCTTCACCACTTCATTCTGCACGGTGGCAAAGTCCTCACCGTTCGCGATGTCCTGCGGCCGAATGCCAGATACGCTGGTGCGGTAGTCAGTGACCTCCATTCGCGGCTTCACATACTTGTCCAACAGCACCTGTCCCACGCGATTCACGATGGACACGCGTGCCAGCATGTCGTCCTGCCCGTTGTGTCCCACGCCCACCATCTCGCAGTCCATGGCCAAATAGCGATTACGGTGTGCCTTCTTTTTCATGCGCATGCGCGCCGATTTGGACAGTGGTGCTGACTCCGCCGCCTTGGCCTCCTGGTTTTCACTTCCATCTGCTGCTGCTCCTCCGCCTGCAGCGGCCATCCAGTTGGAACCGGCTGCCCGGCGGCTAGTGTTCGGCTGTTGCACCTGCAGGCGCTCCATTGAGATTTGTAGCTTGCGTTGATTGTGCTGCGGGGAAACCACATTTTTCGTGCTGCCAGTGGTGTTGTTGTTGTTGCCAGACCCGGTGCCGCTGCTGGCCAAGTTATTCGCACGGCTGCGGTTCATGTCGAATTGCTTCTGCCGTTGCGTAGCGGACATGGCGGCGGGGCATCTATATATTCCAAATAAATGTCCAGCTGTACACAATCTCAAACAAAAATGTGTTATTTTATTTTAGTAACAGACGACCAGTGTGACCGCTTTACGTTGCCGAGATATTACTGTCGACCAGTGATGCCAATATTTTTCTATTTTTACAATTTTTACTACTCACTTTAAAGACCTCACTATTTACTATATACGAATAAACATAAAAATAAATATCCCTTTCAGTGTATGGTAATCAATTTCTTAACAAGAATTTTATATTGTATTTTAAATATTTTTTATGAATAAATATTTTAAGATAAATATTATAACATTTCAAATACCGTTTCGATTCTAAAACCAATTAAATAACTCGTCGGTGTCATACATATTTAAAGTTTTTCATTAGCTTTGCAGTAATAATGCTCTGTTTCCAAAAAGCAGTCTTTATTTTTTAAAGAGTCGATATTTGATATGGAAGTTTGGATGTAAGACTGGTGAAAATAAATGTAATTTTTTTACTTGTGAAATGCTGGATCAACAGCAAATATTATTAATATGGATATTTGTGCCAATGTTTTTTTTGAACTAAACGTTCTACATGTTTATAGAATGTATGGATTTTCGTTACATCTATGAACGGTCATACGAAAGGATATTCATTTGTTTATTTCAGCGTTGGCACAACTATGAACATAATGCATAATGCATAGTGCAGACCTAGTAAACTCCCGACTACTCCATCAGAGTTTGTCCATCAGCGCCCAAGAACCGAGCCCTTGCTTCGCCAACAGTCGATGAACTACCATTTGCCCGTGTTCCCATTCGGTCTGTCCATTGATTTGTACGGCGACGAGCGGCGGCGGAGAAAAGAGCCAATAAAGCAGAACTGGAGGAGCAACCATGACCGGCCGAGAAGCTCAGTCCTTTCACACACGCTGTGGCCGCTCCATCCGGCTGTACAACAACAACCGGATGGCCCAGCGCTCAATGCGGGACTTCAGTCATGCCCTGGTGTTCAGTGCCGAGCCTCTGGAGGACGATGTGCTTTTCGAGGTCGTAATCGAGAAGAAGGTGAGTTAGCGTAGCCACACATACGACTCTGAACTAGAATACCGGATAATGCTCGTCTTGCAGAACACCTCCTGGGGCGGCAGCATTGAGATTGGTGTCACCGCGGAGTCGCCGGATGACCTGGAACTGGTGGCATGCGCCACTGCCATGCGAAATGGCACATGGGTCATGTCCGGCATCGACGTGCGCAAGGATGGTCGACGCATGTTTGAGTTCTATGGCACCGATCTGGAGACGCTTAACGAGAATGATCGCGTGGGCGTTATGCGCACCTCTGGTAACGATCTGGTCTTCTATGTGAACGGAGAGTCGCAAGGCGTGGCAGCCAGAAACATGCCCAAGCCTCTCTGGGCCCTTGTCGATCTTTACGGACGTTGTGTGCAGGTTTCTTTGTGTCCCCGCGATGCCAGCGGATCTGCAGAGGTAACTATTTAACCAAAAGTACAGCAAAAGCTAATTGCATGCTTAAACCTAAAATCGAAATACACAGCTTTTGGATTCACCGCTGCAGCAACCACTGCAACAGGTTGTTCAGAACTTGGACGTGGCCATGAACGTAAACATCGTCGTTGACTCCGACGCCTGGATGCAAGGCAATGGTTCCGTATCCAGCGCTGATGACCGACTGTGCTTCCACACCCGCTGTGGGTCGCTGGTCAAGCTTTCGCCCAACTTTCGATCCGCCGAACGCCGTCGACCGCTGGACGAGTTCAATAACGGTGTGGTGATGACCCACAGGCCCCTGAGGGACAACGAACTGTTTGAGATTCGCATCGACAAGTTGGTGGACAAATGGTCTGGATCCATTGAAGTGGGCGTCACCACGCATAATCCCGCAGTGCTGCATTTTCCGGCAACCATGACCAACATGCGCTCTGGCACAATTATGATGTCCGGCTGCGGAATTTTAACCAACGGTAAAGGAACACGCCGTCAGTACGGCGAGTTCAACTTGGACGAGCTTCGCGAGGGAGATCGCGTTGGGATGATGCGCAAGGCCAACGGCAACCTACACAACTACATTAACGGACAGGATCAGGGGGTGGCCGCCACCCGAGTGGCCTCTACTTTGTGGGGCGTCATCGATCTCTACGGAATGACTATCAAGGTTACAATAGTTGATCGCGATGAGCGTGAGCAGCAGAATCTCGTGACCAGGCGAAACAATATAGTAGCAGGTATGACTGCCTGTTCCAGTGGTGTTGGTGCTCAGCACACCCAGCACCAGCAGCATTCCGGCACCCCCACCCTGAGCCTTCTAAGCCCAGAGAGTGAGATGAATGTGGCTGGCGCTGCCGGTGGCCTAAGTGAGACCATTTCCAGCACGCGAGCCATAGCCAGGAACGATGATCGGCTAACCTTCCACCACATTTGTGGTACCCATGCCACCGTCACCCAGAGCGGACGGACAGCTCTGCGGCCGAAGTGAGCATTGATGTTTATAATAGAAGACTTTTATATACTTTAAACTTCCCAATGTTCTGCAGTGCTGCCGATGATTTCAACAATGGTGTAGTGCTCACAAGAAGACCTCTTCGTCCCAACGAACTCTTCCAGGTGCGACTCGAACGCGTCGTGACCAAATGGGCAGGCTCTGTTGAAATGGGAGTGACCACTCACAGCGCCGACGAACTGGACTTTCCATTCACGATGACTAATGTGCGGTGAGTCCTGGTTTCTAGCTCACTTAAATTATTTTTAAAATAATTTTTCCAAACCAGTTCCGGCACTTGGATGATGACGGGAAACGGGGTCATGCAGAATGGAGTCACCGTAATCGAACAATACGGCCAAAACCTAGATCGCCTGCAGGTGGGCGATAGAGTGGGTGTGGTGCGCAAGGACGACGGCACATTGCACTTTTGGGTGAATGGAGTGGATCAGGGTCCTGCTGCCAACAATGTTCCGGAGCGCGTTTATGGCGTAATAGATTTGTATGGACAGGCAGCACAAGCAAGCATTGTGGACACTTCGGAGTGCGGTAGCCCGGACACTGGAAACTCTACCATCTCAAATACGACCTTGTACAGCGAGGTTCCGCTACGATTTCACAGCATCCACGGCGCCAATGCGGGCATCTCGAATAGTGGCCTAACAGCGTCGCGTCCCAATTCCCTGGCAGAGTTCAATGACGCAATTGTGTTCAGTAACAGACCGCTAAGGCAACGGGAATTGTTTGAAGTGGAGCTGGAGACCATGGTTCGTCACTGGTCGGGCAACATTGAGATCGGGGTGACAGGCACCCGGCCAGAGGACATCCAGTTGGCTCCAAACGCCACCGATCTGGAGGCCAGCGACACCATCATCTTATGCGGTCCAATGATTTTTCACAACCGCAAGACCATACGCACGAATATTCTACTGGATCTGGATACCCTGGGTCCTAGCACGCGAGTGGGTGTGATGCGCAATGGTGACTTCATTCACTTTTTTGTTGATGGAATGGATCAAGGGCCGGCCTGCGAGTGCCACGCACCGAACATTTGGGCCATTATCGATTTGTATGGGCAGTGCGCCCAGGTGAGTCTTACCCAGACGCAGCTGGACATCCGCGCTCCGTACGCAACCAGCGAGAACTCGCAGAGCTGTCAAGCCACATCGGTAATTCAGCATCCGGCCATGGAGACAAAACACCGCTGGACTTGCGTCTCGGGGAATGTAAGCCTAACCAAGGACTGGACGGAGGCCTCGCGCTTTACGGGAGCGGCGGCACCGCTTTCTCATTGTCTGGTTTTTTCTGAACATCCCCTCAGCGTGGGATCACCTTTCGAGATTAAGCTGACATCGATTAATT